GGGGATTTAGGATTCATTTTGAGAAATGGCACCCGGGTGATCAAATTTTGGTATAAAGGGTTTTCTATCATTTAAATATTCTATCAGGTATTTTTAGTCCTATTTGATATGTCCAAAGTGTTCCCACAAGTTTATGACCATTAGGATGAGATTTGGACAATTTTGAAAATGGTTTTTATCAAAAAAACTGCACTTTTGCATCTGGGTGTCCAAATCTTAATCCGACTTTTGAATTTCTCCAAAATTTGGGTCACGAGTAAAATCTTTTATAAGCCTCATGTGGGCTTTAGAATTACGTCGATCAAATATCGAACGAAGAAACGATGCACTCTGAAATTTGGTTCGGAGGAGCTATAACAGTGATAATGTTGCAATAGGCACGAAATTCAATCCATCCGTTGGATCTTTTTAAAATTTGGTATGCTAATAGTACTATTTAAAAGTGATATGTGGGCTTTAGAATCGCTCCGATCAGAGGTTGGATGATGAAATGGTGCACTCTGAAAGTTAGTTTGGAGGTGCTGTCATGACAACAAAAATGATCAATCTTTTAACATGTCTAATTTTTAATCCAACCGATGGATCTTTTTAAAATTTAGTATACTTATAGTACCCTTTGAATGTGACATGTGAGCCTTAAAATTTTTTGATCAGGGATCGAATAACAGAATGGCGCCTCCCGAAAGTTGGCCTGGGAGGGCTGTCATAACAGCAATTTAATGCTGTCATGACAACATCTTTTTACCTCGCTTTCGCCTAGCTCGATTTCGTGCTATAGGTAAAACCTATAAATTTTTTTATTTAAAAAAGGTTTTAAATGTTTACTTTGCAATTGTGTATCTGCTTAGTGATTTAAATGGTTTGTTTCCTAAGTTGGTTTTAGGATTAACTCCTTAACCACACTTAGTTTATTTGAATTGTGTGATTTTTGGATAACACTTGGGGCAAGTGTTACATTAAGCCTAAAAGTAGTTAAATAAACTAATGAAAATTAGTTTTGGATTCAGATATGCTTGACCATGCTTAGTGAGGGATTAGGCCTTAATTACGATTAAGAGTTAATTAATGACGATTAGTCATTAATGCTATTTTGTGAATTTGATTGTAGACTAATTGTGTTTGGAGCTTATGTTTAGAGTAGCTTCCTTAGGAAATTGAAATTTGACTATCTTGGTGACTCAAGAATGGAGGTAATTGGAAATCTTATTATTGCATATAATTGTGTTTGCAATTGAGATTAAATTGCTACATGATTAATGACATGAAATGAGTAGCAAGGATTTTCTATGAGATTGTGAACTTAAGATTGTAGTTAAATGTAAAGTATTCCTGATAGTGATATTTGTTTGATAACTATGTTGGCAAATATATTATGTGATTAAGAAAATATGAGTTGTTCGCTCGAACTGGCTGTGAGTGATTGATGATGTTATGTAATAGAGTGCATGCTTGGATTGAATATGATTTATTGATGATGTTATATGATAGAATGTATGCCTAGATTTATTATGAATCATTCATGATGTTATATGAGGAATTGTATGCCACAACTATATCTGTTGTTAATGTAATTATAATGTGTGGTAATGATTAAGTCGTTTTGCAAAAAGTATTACTTATGTAAATACAATGTTGCAAAATAAGATTTTAATTTGGGTTGCTAGTATATTTACAATTCCCATCTATTATTGAAATGTTAAATCTCATTCGTTATCTCTTATAGTTTTTTCAGATGAAGATTCTAATAAAGTACAAGGGAAGATGCTAAAGAATTGAACTTGTATGCTCCGTTCCTTATGGCTTGACACATGTTGCTTGTCCATTATTATTTTGCTATGACCTTGGAGGATGTTAATATTGATATTTGGATTCAATTAACTTTAAAATTTAATTTGAATTATTTTTTAAAAGAATATATTTAATTTGATTCCACGTGCACATCTTGAAGATTTAAATTGAATAGTAGTTAACATGTGGGTTGAATCCTTTTTAATATCAAAATATTTTTCCAATAATTTGTTATGTCTTCTGGCTTACTCTATGGATAATTTGGGTTTTGAACATCCCGGGTCCAATTGTTCGTATCTTTAGGATCCCAACGTTAATTTTTAAAGGTGTTTATCTTAATGATTTTAAAAAAATATCTTTTTAAATGAGGGTGTTATATTGGTTTTTTTCACAAAGTTACTATATACACAGTAAAAGAAAATACCAAAATGCTATACCGTGGGAATTATTTCCCAAAATACTACACCTAAAATCGTTCTTGCATTGAACAATTTATAAAATTAATCAAACCAAGAATGATTTCTTCAATACAAAGTCTCCAATGCATCAAAACTTGTTATTGGCAAGAACGATTTCTCAGCATCATTTGCCCCTGTCACATTAAATGATTTGTCTAATAATTTAGTAATCATTTGAATGAAAATGATGAGTAAATAATTGTTACTAATATGACTAAGGAATTATTATAAGGTGTATTAAATTAAAAATTATTAATAATAAATAAATAATTATTAGGTCTCATGAAAATTAATAATGAATGATTAAGTTATATGAATGAAAAGTGAAAATTAATTTATCTCACAAATGGTGACTTTCATGTCATATCTTATTCTCTTTCTCATACGTTGTGGCTGCTGCTGCTGTTGATGTATGTTCCTATCTTCTTCAGATTCAAGTGTTTCATTTATCTATATAGTCAACATATTTAAATCAAACTAAGGTAATTCAACTAAAGAAATCAACTATCAAGGGGTGGCATATGCTTCATTTGATGGTCTACCATGTTCAAAAGTAGAAGTGTTTCATTTAACTGAAAACAGTGCAGGATCATCAAGTAAAGACATGAATTATCTACATTGATTAGGAGTGTGGGAGTTGAAAAGGGATGATAACGAGGGTGACATGTAATGAAACTCAAATTAAGTAGGATTGAGAGAGATGAAATGGGGTGATGATAATGATGAGGCTGCCATAAAATGAAAAATTGGTCATTTGCAAATATACACACAAACTCTTTTCTATGATCCATTCTACTTCTTAAATATTACATTATATAATTAACACCTTAGTAAAATTAAATTATAAAAAGAAATTAATTTAACTAATTTCCTAAATATATAAATTAATTATTTAACTTCTATATTTAAGACTAAATGGAGTATTACTTACATATAATAATCTTTTTTATGTATATTTAATCTTTTTATCAATAAATTAATTATAATTATTCTCAGTGGTAAAACCATGTTGTCCTTAAGGGAGGTTAAGTTTTGCTATTGAATGCTATTAAGATTTTTTAGGTTTTCTTTGACTTATAATTCTTTTTGATACAATTCACAATTCCAACAACTTTTGCCTTCTATATAATTTATATAATATATGTGTGTGTTTGTATGTTGTTTGACTCCTCTCCCTAGACCAAAAACGTACAAGGATTTGTCATGTCTGTAACATGCACATTTTGCCACATATGAATTATTATAAAAAATTGAGAATTGGTAGAAATTAAATTTTGTAATATGTCAAATATATAATTTTTTTATATTATTTATTTGATAAGTTTTTTCTATATTATTTATATTTTTTATGATTGATATTATAGATATATAATTCCATATATAGTTTATAGATATATTCTTTATGATTAATATTATATGTAATTTATTCTCTAAGACTTTTAAAGTAATAAACTTACACAAACAATTAATTAGTATAGACATAAAAAATAAATAAAAATATAGAAGATTGTATATTAATTTTAAAAATTTGACCCTTTCCACATTTATGCCGATCCTACCCCTGATTATTCTATAAAAAAAATTAACTACATATTTACATTTACAATTGAGAAAAACTTAACATATAAAACATTAATAATTAAATATTAAGCTTTTACTCATGATTTAAAAAAATATAGATTAACTTTGATGTAAAATTTGGAAAAAAATATTTAGAAAATGCACCTTAATCAAATGGCAAGTCAGGCTTTAAGCAGATAAAAAAATGTACTTCAAACTTTGATCACAGTATTAACATTACTAATTAGAGTAGAGAAATGGAATAGAAAAAAAAATTTAAAGTTTGAATAAGATTATAAGAGAGAAATGAGAGACTATAGGAAATGAAGCAAGCACGAATGTATTATGTCTTAAATTCCTTATATAACCAACTCAAAGTTTCACATGCACATGCACATGTATAAAATATAATGTCATGTGGGAAAAGTAAAAGTTGAAAGAGATTTGACAAATGAAAAAGCATGAAGGGATTTGACAAATTGTTCTCATGGGAGAAAGATTCTTGATGATAAATTAAATGTCGCGTTAATCAAAAAAGTTAAAATCATTTATCTCACTTTTTATTGAATAAAAAAAATTAACTTTAAAATTATTCTTGAGTTGAACACTTATTTACAATTTTAAACTCGTTCCCAATCTGAATCATTTTTGGTGTAACATTTAAGTAATTTCTTTTAATGTTTATAGTATATTGGTAAAAAAGCCTGTTATATTAGGAATATTCTGTCAAACATTCTAAAATACTCAATTTTTTTATGAAATAAAATACTTAATTTTTTATTTGTAATGATGTTGAAAATTTTAAAATTTTTATTTTACCCTTATAATTTAATTGTTTACAATCTCTCCCAATTTTGAAAACTTCAAATAATTATGTTGATATTTACATAAATAATTTAAATTTTGTGCCAAAATTAATAAAATTTAAAAAATAAACTTAAATTATATTGAGTAATTCATTATATTAAATCCTCATTTCATTAATTTTTTTACTACGTATTTGAAATATTATTTTTACTAATTTATATATTTAAATTTTAAAAGATGTTACCAAATAAATACATTTATGTAATAAAAAAATTTAAAATATAAATAAAAAGTAAAAAAAATATGCATAATTTTTTTAAAATAATTTAAATAATTTTTAGATAATATTTATATTTAAAGAACTTTAGAAAATACCGAAACGATGGAGTGGTAAATCAGTCCTGTACAGTAGGAGAGCTTTCGGTCAGCCGCACCTGGTTTTTGCACGACTGGCAGATGCTTCGCGTAGGCGCAGATCCATGTCTATCGCTCTGTAGTGATTCCTTTGTATAAATCATACTAAATCGCCCTCTTTAAAACCCATAAGAAACTTCTGGATTCTTCATCCTTCTATGTTTTTTAAGGTACGATCTTCTAAGCCTTGTGCTTTCGAATTTGTGTGCTGACATTATTCATTAATGTTGAGTCACTTTGTTTGGTCCAAAAACAAGAAAAGGAAAAAAAAAAAAAAATCTGTTTGGGTTTCAACCTCGTTCTCGATGTTCTTGCTCTTGGTAACTGAAGATTTAACTTCTCCGGGAAAAGTATGTTCTTCTAATCCTATATTTATTTGATTTTTAATCTCGCACATCCTGAGTTAGATTGAATTTTCGGCTGAGAACCAGGAAACCGATGATTTATGTTAACGAAATTAGGTTTATGGCCAGTAGCTAATGAGGAAATTCTCTGGAAAAATGTAATCTTGAAATGTGAATTCTTCGGTTCCTTTTTTCCACTCCATATATTGAGGGATTGTCCAGTAAGATTGACTAGAAAAGGACTGGTGTTTCCGAAGTTGTTTGTTTGAACTTCGAAATTGTTGCTTTAAGCAAGTTGAGGGATAAATATTTTTTAAATTTCAAGTTCGTATGTTGATTCAGGAAAGAGATCACTATGATGTTGGTAGAATAATGTGATTTTTCGCTTTGATGATTTATCACTCCAATCTACACCATGTAATATCACGCACTTGAAAGGTCTGGATGCTAAGACTCCTAAGACTGGAAATGTCATTCTCATTATTGGTTATTGAATGAAGATTCCATGTATTCTATCTATGACTGGATATGTAATGTTCAATGTAATGTTGCTCGCCATATATTGCTTTCAATGGTCCTAGCTTAGAGTTGGTGTCGGCCTGCAAACATGGCTTTTTTTCCCTCCCTCTTGTTAAAATTGGTTGGTGGTGTTGTCTATTATGAAATTTGTTATTGTTGTCTATTAAGGAAATATCCTAAGGCAATAGTCTTTCTCTTCACTGACAGGAATTGCATGAAATATGAACTGCTTGTGAAGTGAGATTTATTGCAATCTTCAATAATAAGGAACAACTGCTATTTAGTGAAGGAGTGGCATATCATACATTGACTGTAATTGTCATTTGACTTTTCTCATGTATCGTATATCTCACCGAATTTTGTTTTTGAGATTTTGTTTCAGTTGCTTCTTCATGTGACATGAGGTGAGTTGGAGATGCCAGACTTACCAGGTTATGTTAGTTCCTGCTTGAACACAGGGAAACTTGCCTTATTAGCACTCTTGGTTGCGGGTGGGATTGTCTTGCAAATTTTGGTCTGTGATATCTTCCTCAATCTCCATATTCATCATTTATGATTCATATGTATGAAAATGTGAGACTGTATCGGGAAAATAATCATTGTATGCATCTGTGTTATGTGACAGGCATGTGCCTTGTATGATAACTGGTGGCCGATGTTATCAGGTGAGTTACAACATTGAGTCCAGCATACTGCTGTGTTTTTATTCCATTTCAAACGTGTCTAATGAGGAATTTGTCAAAGGATTCTCTCCTACACAATACAACTTTTGCTTGGAGAGAAGGGAGATGGATGGCCTCCACTACCTCTCTCTATTTCTCTCCACATGATAGATCTTCTACATGAGAGAAAATCCATTTCTGTTGGATTGATGTGAACGGAATTTATAGAGTACACTGATATGGTCATTCAAATATTACTTCTCAATTTGACTTTCCAAAGATATCTCGGTTTAGTCTTCAAAAGGTCACTCTCTTCTAAATTAAATGTTCCAAAAGTAAAGTTTATTAATTTACTTTCAAATATTTTCTCCCAATTAAAATGGTCTCGCAATCAGACAAAAAATGGAGTACCTACCAATGGGCTTGTGTAGATGTATTCAACTCCCAAATCAATGTTGCTTTGTATCATAACTAGATTTTATGACATCATAGAACCCACAAATGTTTCCCCTTGATTTGAGTGAAATGTTTGGTTGCCAACTTGGACTTGTTTGTTGTTGCAGTGATAATGTATGTTCTTCTTCCCCTCCCTTTGCTGTTCTCTGCTGGATCTGATGATTATTCTTCACTTTCTGAATCTGATAGCAAGTAAGCCATTATCCTTTGATTAATTCACCAGCTAGATCCAACTATGTACAAGCTGGGAAACAGTAACACATCCTTTATTTTTTATTTTTTATTTTTTTTTGGTGGTTAAAATAGTTGGGTGAATGTGACCAAGTTTTTGACTGGAGCCTCAGCTATTGGAAGCATAGCCATACCAGTCATATTAAAGCATGCAGGGGTTATTGGTTGGGGAGCAATGGCAATGGAACTTGGCTCCTTCTTTGTGCTTGTATTCGCCATAATGTGTTATATACGGTTGAGTAACGATGACTAGATAATGCTTTTTGACACTTTGCTTTTAGAACTCCTTCAGCTGTGAGTAATGTAAACCCGATTTGAGCAAGGTAATCTTTTCCACTTGTATTGCAGCTTCAACTCTATATTCTGGTTTTCAGATTGATTACCATCTCGTGATCTCTACTAAATTAGAATTTGGATTTGCCTTTTCAAGTCACTTTATTGGAGACACTGAAATATTTCATAGTGAATTTAATAATCATATGTGTAGACGTTAAAAGAATTAAGGCAGGTTGTCATTCATGGGAAATTAAGATAAATCTTATCTCATAAATTTTCCTTTTCTTTTGCACGGACAGATGTAACAATCCGCATTTCCAATTTTCAATCAATCCGCCTCAAGTTTACATTCAGGGTAGGTAGAGACATTAGTGAATACCAAATCGGTTAGTTATCAAGCAACAATAATGAGTGAAAAATGCACAGGTTTTCGCTACAGATTATGGTGCTGGAATTTCCATTTGCTTTCATCTGGGAAAAAAATCAATCCATCATTGCCTCCTACTTTAAAAGAGATGGGGCGGTGAAAATATGTGAATCCTGCTCGAGTCATTAGCAATATGTGCACTAAAATTAAACCACCTCTAATCCCAGTTTGCGACATAACACTCTCCTGATTTACATTAGAGGAGAGTAACACAGGTTGTTAGAGTATGATCAATTGCTTGAATGAAATGCAAGCGGCATTGCAGTGTCAAAAATTGCTCTTGTTGAGTTTCAAGTGTAGCTGCATTTTCAAATTCAATGGGGACCATTCCATATCTTGATTACAAGTCAGTATGTTGCTCTCATGTCCATCGTTTTCGGATTAACCTGCTTGATGCAGCTGAAAGGGGAGTCTGCATTGTTTTTTTTTTTTTTTTTGCCAACAAATTAGTGCTTACGTTAGTCAAGTTATTCATACAAATCTTATAAGCTGTAACGATTAGGATCTTTCTGGAAACATTTTTGACTTTTTGACGAACAGGTTTGCAAACAAGCACTTGAATTCTTTAGCAGCAAGCAATTGTTGACTATTGATGGGCACTTCATTAGAACATGGCCGTAATATACCAGTAAGTGGAGACTCATTAATGTCAAAGCACACTTGTCTAGCATGTTAAGAGTTGATGACAACAGATGTCATGTCCTCGCTTTATAACATATTAAGTATCCAAGAGACAAGAAGAGCCGATACTGACAGTTGAAATATTTAAATGAAGGACCTGTTTCTTCACCACTTCCACATTGTGATCTGCATTCTGCAAAACATTTTCACGGTATTTAGTTTTTTTTTTTTTAAATCTGAGTTGGGGAGAAAAGAAACCACTTAGTTATGGAATTCAGTAAGACAAATGCACAGTGGCCAAATCTGATGGGCATTACCATGCTCGATTATTCAACCAACCAGAAATGCGTAACTGTGTAAGAAAAGCAATGCACTTATGTTCAGTAAAAACTGCTGCAGGTACTGACTAATGATTCCTAATTTAATGATATTAAATTCTCAATCACATTCAAGCTCTAACTATCACTATTCCCCACTGCACATCAAAGTTTGCGTCTCTTTCCTTTATACAAGCACAATCATCAAACCCTACGTTCCAATGTTAGACGACATTTGGAGCTGAGATTCACTCCCAGTTTGGATCAACTAACAAGCAAGATTCCCTTTTTTGGGGCTAAAAAACATAAGGGCAAAGCACCTAACATCGTTGTTATCCAATCAGCATGCAATTAAACTCGATGATGGCCGTTTCTGGCCTTGATTTGTAAATTTTGAAGTAGCCAAGCATGATTGCAACATGGCACACATATTATGCACACCGCAACAACATAGCACCTACAACCATCTGTTCTCTAAAGATTCAATCAATGTCACTGCTTAACCAAATTGAACAAGCCAGGACAGACAGTTAACTACACTACTAAATTATTAAGAGCGAGCCTACTTCCTTCAAGTGAATCCCATCATACACAAAATGACACCAATTCTCTTTCTTCGCACCAGATTACAATTCAACATGGCTAAGGAAAAAAAAATAGTTCGCAGAACAAACCAGCAAGAAAATAGAATTGACAGTGCTTACAATGTATGTAGTTCTAACCGAAGACGACGCGAAACTGCGGAGCGTCGGAGGCACTGGCAGGCAGGATCTCCCAGTGGCAGGGCTCGAGTTCTTCGGAGACAGGGCAGTAACCAGCGAGGGTGACCTTGTCAGCAGAAGCGGCGACAGAGCCGAACTCGAAAGCGGAGAGGCTGAGGTTAGTAGGTCGGGAAACCTCCAAAGCTCCGTTCATGCCGGGGGCCTCAGTGGGCTTCGTCTTCGTCATGGTATTGGAGTTATCGATAGGCTTGGGTTCAGGTTGGGATTTCTTGCCCTTCCACCATGAGAGTAAACCCATGATTGTCGCTGGTGGTAAGCTAGGGATTTTGGCTTCCTTGACGTCTGAGTTTAATCAGTACAGCGTTATCGTCCAACAGGGGAGAAAAAGGCACTAAAAAAGAAAAAGAAAAGAGCACTAGAAATATGAAATAAAATATCTATCAAGCGGAGTAAATGTTTTAAAAATAAAACAAATTAAAATTAAATCATTTTAAAATTGAAGTTGGTAAAAAATTTCAATCCAATTGATAATTACTTGATTTAAAATTTATAAAACTACAAGATTAAATCTCACACTTTGTTGATACACAACTAGTAAATATCTTTACAAATGCTTTTTAAATTTAAAAATATATTTTAACTCTGATGAATTTTTAAGAGTCAACTCATTTAAATTGTTTTTTTCATCAAAGAAATCATTAAAATGAAATAAGTTATTTAAAATTTCAACAAAAAAAAGTAAATGGTTGAAAATCATACCCATCTAACATAGGTAAAATTATATAAATGGAATTTTAAATTTAAAATATTTTATATTGAAAGATCCCAAATTTATCGCTGCTACATATATTTCTTTATTTATTATGCATACTCTGAAACATGAATTAGATTGTTCATAATTTATAAGCAGTGTAATTTAGTATAAGTTTTATTATATATATTGATTGATGATTCATTGAAATATTATCTTATCTTTTTCTTAAAAAAAAATTAGAGAGGCACGTAATAATGGCATGAGGTTAATATTATTTTTTATCTTAGTAAAGCCTATAAATTGATATTTTTCTTACTAAAGTAACTTTAACATTTATTTAAATGGGCTCTATATTATTCAATTACTTTAATTTTTTGAAGAATTGTGTTAAAATTTTATAAAAAAAATTACTTACTACAAGATTCATTAAAAATTAAACTAAGATAATGGACAACACATTGACTTTAGTTCAATTATTAATGAACTTTACAGTAATTAATTTTTTCATATGAGACTTATATATAATTTTTCTTTCACATTTTTATTCTTGGCTTCGTACTTTTTATATTAGATTTTCTACTTTGCTTTCATTTGTTTTAATTATATCATGATGAAATTTCAATAATAATACATCACAATCTATTTTTTGTTTATAACAATGTGCATTGCAAAATGCAAAAGAGTTAAATTCTATTTTTTGTATCCAAAGGGTTAAATTCTAGTTGAATATTGTAAAAGAATTCACACAAATAATTAACCATAAAAAATTATTTTGAACAATAATAAATAGAAGTAAGAGGGAAATCTAAGCGGACGATATACAATGTTCTTTATAAACTTTTTGTAATTTAATTCTTGTGGTTATTTTATATTTCAAAAAATAAATTTAAATTTTAATATTGTGAACATAAACATATTTAACTAAGTGAACATTCATAATATGAGGCCAAAGGTTTTTGCTTTGGTCTCTTAGCTTTCCAACTCCTAGTGTATGCTGGAGAACTAGGAACTTATTTTAGTATCTTGCATGATTTTCTTTTTTGAAAAAAAAAAAAACACAGAGTCAAAGTAATTGCATTCAAATGTTGGCAAAAAAAAAAAATTGCATTTGGATAATACTCTTTCCAATCCTATTTATAAATCATTTCTATTAACCTTATTAATATAAATATAATAAAAGAATAAAAATAAAAGTAAGTGAAATTTTAAATATAACCTTCAAGTAAAAAATAAATAAATAATATAATATTTTTTTATCTTTCTCTCTCTTACTTTATATATATTTTGAGAATTTCAATGTAAAACAAATCAATCCCATCAACTAATATTTCTCTTACTTTTTAAGAATAATTTAAAAATTTTAAGTTGAAATAAAATAATCTCATCCACTAATGATGTATAAAGTGAATTAAAATATGTTTTTAGAATGTGATTAATATATAAAATAGAAGAGTATAGCTTAGCTTAATATAAATTTTATTTATTTTATATATATATATTGAATTAATGTTGATATTGATTAGGATGATTCGTACTTTTCATGTACTTGCATCACATGTCCTCTGGATATGAAGCCTCAGCCCCTCTCTAGCGGGTCGTTATACTCAGACAGTCTCACTGAAATCGTCTCAGAATTGTCCACATGACAGAAGTCGTACATGCTTGTGACAAAAGTTCTGAAAACCAGTCATGTACTTGGAATAAGATGCACCGAGAAAACTTATCAGTAATAAAGCGAACTTGAAACAGCTTGTATTAACAGGCTAAAACTTAAGGAAGGACCATACAACTTCCAAGGATTCAATTTTTTCTGAAATCCGTCCCTTCCTGTTAGCAGAAGCAAAAATCAAGCAAAGAACCAGATGTAAAATTCAGTCAAACTCAGGGAACAAGACCTCCATATTCACTCTTTCTGACGGACAGCTCTTCCCAAAGCAGCACCCAAAGTTTTGCGTTCGATTATATCAATGGCAGCACGAGGAGATTACATCACAATGGTTCTGATGCTTTTCTTAATCCAAGAAACCTCATGCCTCAAGGATTCTTGGTTTTTGCTTTCGTATATCATTAATAGGACAAAATATAGTTGCATGACTGTGCCTTGAGGGGATATGGCAAGGTGCTTTTTAATAGCAAGGTAGGATGAAATTGTCAAGGGCCTTGTGTTCTTTTCTGCATTGTTTCTAGTAGTAGAACACGAGGAGATTAATACTTTTCTGCCTTCGTATATCATTAATAGAACAAAATGAAATTGTCAATGGCAACACGAGGAGATTACATCACAATGGCTCTGATGCTTTTCTTAGTCCAAGAAACCTCATGCCTCACGAATTCTTGGGTTTTTTTGCCTTGGTATATCATTAATAGAACAAAATGTGGTTGCATGACTTTGCCTTGAGAGGATATGGCAAGGTGTTTTTTTAATAGCAAGGTAGGATGAAATTGTCAAGGGCCTTGTGTTCTTTTCTGCATTGTTTCTAGCAGACGGTAATGTTGTGATTCTATGCAGGCAGACAGAACCTGTCACTTTTTGTCCCCTTGATATTACATTCCTGTGGTACCTTTTTTGTCCCATTTCATTAATTACCTCATCACTCTTATTTTAATCCATAACTGGTTATGTTCATCCACAGAAAAGGTGTGTGTATCAAGGCAATATAGCAACGATTTTCCTTTTGTTCCTCCCTTCTATGCCTAGGGGCTTAGGTGAGGGTGTCAGCAACTCAATTCAACAAATCATTGTGATCCTTTAGGTTGCTATATTTAGTACATTTCATGCTGCTCTGTGTGCTAAAAGAAACGCATGAATACCTATTTTCACAAAGTAAAATCTGAATAACTAGTTTTGGTGAAGCAATTCTTGTAATAACGTCACTAACAAGTTTTGTCATCTATAATGGCAGTGAGAACAGTATGACTACTACGCTCAAACCATGACCAATCAAACAGGAAGAAGATAAATTGCATCACTGATTCAGCTTTAACTCAAGTTGTTAACAGTGAAATATAAATGGAAACAAAATAGGTATCAGTTACCTCTCAAATAATTTCACAATCTCGCAGATTAAACTGACAAAATCTCAAGGGATTTTCCATTTTTGTATCTACGCATCTGCGGCAGCTTTCGCACTCCGAAACTCCTTTTTCAGTTCACTGACTCTTTTCACGCAAGCCGCTTTGGATTTTCCCGGTACAGCAGCTGCAATCTTCTCCCATCTCATAGCAACATCCTTCGGGAATGCCTTCAAAGCGTTAAGCAACGCAATATCCTCCCCTGAACTCCAGCCACTTCCAGATCCTTCACCAGTACCATTGACAGCTTTCTCCTCCGATTCACCTCCGAAATGTTCATTCCCATTCTCAAGTCTCTTATCCACCGGTTTCCTCTTCTTCAAAAACTGTGTATATGAGTCAGTGTCATCTAGCTTCTTCTCTCCTAATTCCTTTGCCTTCTTGATCACACTCTCCGTCCTATGCCGCCCGCTGAATGCCTCTGCGATAACCTCCCATCGTCTAGGTTTTCCCACTGGATGTTTCGACATCTGCTTCTTCAAAATCTCAACGTCTTCTTCCGTCCACTCCTTCTCTTCTTTCAATACCACACCATTTCCACCGGCTCCACTAGCTTGATTCTTCTTCTCCGCCCGTTCAGACACGTTGACGTTATCAATCGAGGCGATCGGACCAACAGCAATATCCTCAGATCTACGAGTCTTGGATCTCTTCTGAGAAGACCTCTTGTTAGTGTCTTCATCGACTGCGGGTTCTTCATCAGGGAACTCAACAATTGAACCATGGCCGACGCGGATGTCGCCGCCGGTGAGGGAATTGGGAGCAAAAGGACCGATGAGTAGAGAAAGAGAGAGCCATATTAGGAGGGATCGAAAGGGTTCGGATTGGAGATAGAAAATTGAGAGAGCAAAGAAAAGGGAAGAAAGTGAGATAGCGAAGAAGAGGAATGGCTTGCTGGGCTTCTGATAAGCTTGTGATTCTGGTACAGAAGAAGCTTTTGACTGAGATTGGAAGAGGAACCTTGGCCTCGCGTCGTCGTCCAGGAACTCCATTGTCACTAGCTTTTAATGTTCCTCGTTAACTCAAGCCTACCAATTTAATCGTGAAGCCAGTCCCATACGCTAGGGTGTATTATTGTTATTATTTTACTGTATTTTAGGTAGCATTGCGCCATTGACTCACTAACCCATGTTAGATTATACAAATTAGCTTTTCCCAACTTATAGTAAATCTTTTTTTGATTAATATTTTACAAACCGGACCTCGACTGATATGTCACGGCTCTCACTTAAGGTGCATCAAGAATGCAGAATGCCAGAGGGGTTTTTTTTTTTTTTTTTTGGATTGTTATGGTAGGCTCTATTTGTTGGTAAAAACTGTAAGATATGTTGACATACACAAGAGTAATAGAGTTTATGTGCTCGTTAGTTATTGTTAATTGTTAAGTTTTCATGGTTGTATTTGAAATATAATATCTAACATTGTAAACGGATGAAATTTGAGGGATTAAGAGCAATGAAAAAAACAATACTCCATTCATTCAAAAATATAATATATTTTTAATCGAATTTTATCCTCTAACAAAGTAGTTATTTATTTTTAAAATAACCTTATATTTTATATTTACTCCTATTTAATATAGTATTTTATCCTAAAATAAATATAAAGTTATTTATTTAATAGGGACACTTTTAAAAATATATGTACATATAACATTTCATATGATATCCATGTTTGATGGCTAGTAAGTGAAGGATTACTTTTACCCTTAAATATTCGTTCAGATGCAGCTAATATCATGAACTCAATTTTGGATCATTTCCTTGTTAAACATTTAAAAAATATATGAGCACAAGTGTCTTATTATTAATTAACACACCACATATAAATATTAATTTAAGTTAGTGGGTCTTACATGTGTGCACATGTGGCATCCAAGTGGATGCTTAGTTAGAATTTTTTTTTTAAAAAAATAACAAGTGGCTATCTAAATAGAACGATAAAGAATTGAGATGACATTGCCATGTTATGTGGAGGGGAGTGATGGAGCCACGGATGAAGATATTGCAACTTTTCAAGATGCTAATGAGGTAATGAATCAAGAAGGAAATGAATTTGTAGCCTAACATCAATTTGAAATAGCAAGATACTTTGAGGTTAAATCCACAAATTTATGAGAAAGTTAAGAATTAAAAATATTCTTTAGTTGATGCAGCAATAGAGATAGCTAACTCATTCAAAAAATATTTGCAAAGCAAAAAACAATTTAGTGAAAAAAAGTTAGTGCTATAGGGCTGTTTGAAACTGTTTTTATTTTATTATTTTGAGAACTAATATTTTATAAAACATGTTCTGAGAATAAAAAATAATAATAAAAATAATTTTTTTTCATTCTCTCTTGTTCTCCATAACATTAATTATAAAACACTTAAAAGTTGTTTTTATTTTTTTATTCTTCAAAACAATATTTTATTTTTTTTTCTTCAAAACACTTTTTAAAAACACACTACCAAACGAATTTTTTTATTCTTTTGTTCTGAAAAACAGAAAACTGTTTTCAAACAGGTTTCCAAACAGGCCTATAGTCTCCCAAATTCAAAGACTTCAAAAAGTAGAAGTGTTTCAAGCCATTATAAAGCTAATGAAAGGTAATCGAGAAGAATTTAATTTATTTAAATCCCTTCTCAATGATAAAAAAAAAAAAAGAGTGGTTTCAATTTCTTCTTAAAAGTTGATAGTATCCAATTTGCACAATATGATCATCATTGACTCCCATCTTCATTTGAGGGTAACTAGTGTAGATATTGTTTCCTTTTTAACTTTGGTCCCCCTTTTCTTATCTTCACTGGGGTTGGAAGTTTCTCTGCGCAATGCAATTTTCTATTTTAATCATATGATTCTCTGATAATGATGTATCCTGTATATTAGTATTTGGGTTTATTGCTTAGCATATTGATATTTGAAATTTTTCATAACAAACGAGTTGCATTTGTCTTGCCGACTTTTTCTTTGTATGCAAGCAGAGATAAACACTTTCCAGGTCAAAAAAAAAAAAAAGTAGAGATAAACACTCATCTTCTAAATTAGCCTTTTTCATATTTAGCTTAGTAGTCTTTGATAGGTAGTATCCTTGATACACACACGCACTCACTAAACTATGATTTTGCTTGACTTTCATATATATACTCTCATTTTCTTTTGTTAACTAGTTTTTTTTTAACTGTATTCGCTGGCTATTTAATTTGTTAGCTGAAACATTTAATTATGTCACTTATTAAAAACCAGTTTCTAATAATTCTATATGAACATGGAATATACAAACCAAACAAGGGACAATTTTAAACCTACTTTTCACTTTTAACCTTAAGAACAACATCATCATGGAATATACAAACCAAACAAGGGACAATTTTAAACCTACTTTTCACTTTTAACCTTCAAGAACAACATCAAATAGAAGAGCAGAGGCATGTAAAAACTTCAATCAGAAACCTACCCCCCCCCCCAAAAAAAAAAATAACGCATAACTAGAAACCTTTGATTAAATAGAAGTATGAAAATAAAAAATATATACTCCCTCCGTTCAAAAATAAAAAAATATTTTTAATCGAATATCATTCTCAATAAAGTAATTACTTATTTTCAAATTAATCCTATCTTTTCATATTGACTCCTATTTAACAAAGTATTTCACCCTAAAATAAATGTAAAATAATTTACTCAATAAGAATACTTTTAGAAAAAGGACAATGATTACACATTGAAAGATAAAAAATGCCTTATATTTTTTAACATTTAATCTCTTAAAAAATGCATTATATTTTTAATGAAGGGAGTATACACATATGTATATATACAAGCATCCTAAAAATGGAGATTACTCAAGTGGATCCATAGTGTATATATATTTGGGTTTCCCCGGGCCTTGCATGTCTAGTGGGTAAATTTTAGTTGATAACTTAAATGCAAAACATTAAAAATAAAGTTGTTTATCGTAATTCAAAATTTCTTGCACAATCTAATGAAGGATTTCAATATTAAATTTTAATTTTTTAATTATTCAAATAAAAAATTTTAGATATATAAATTTGAGATTTGAGATTTGAAATGTGAGAGATTTTAAATTCAAAATTCAAATCCAATTTCATCATCTAACGCTACCTAAAGTTATTTGAAATAGGAAAATTGCTGAGTTAAAAAAAAATATCTGTGGTTTATATTCATATAAGACTTGACAGAGTTATATTAATTGTTGAAAGCCTAACAAAACTACGGTGAAATCAGTTGCAGGACTGATTGCTGTCCATTATTGATGTTTTCAATTTTCAATGTGAAAGAGTACGCCAACATATTCCTGAACTAATTTCAAATAAAGTTCAACAACAGAAATAAAATGAGACGAGAGATTCAATTACTATTGAAAGAGATAACTTAATTTGCCAATTTAAAAGCAATACGTGTGCATATTAATGACTTTAATTAATACATTGAATACATTCGACGTGCAAAAACTATATTGTTATTTTCATCGTAAATTATAAGGAAATTTTTAAAAAAATTCAGTAAATTAAAATATAAAACGCTTTGACAAAAATAAATTTTTATTAATGACACTTTTTTAGTATTATCTTTTTATTATATTCTCTTTTTTCATTATTCTTTTATAAATAGAGTATTAGATGAAAGATATTTTTAAAAATTTTTAGTTTTGTTTTTTAAAAAATAAAGTTACAAAATATATTTAATAAGTTTTATTGATATGTATGATTTTACTAAAAATGTCTTATAAATTAAATGAAGAGAGTATTTGAAAATATGATGCAATTATTCAATAATAGTAAAGAAACATGTTAAATTTACACTCCAAATCACTAGTGCTAGGTGGTCCTAAGAGAAAATCACAAGTGCCAAACTGATCAGCACTAGCCACTGTGGAAGGGAAGAGGGGATAATTCCAATTCTATCATGCAGAGACACACTATAGTCCAGTTGTTTTCACTATTTTCAATGTGACAACTTGCTACGTTGGAACACCTGTTTTTTGTTTTTTTTTTGTATTTTACTTGTAGAATTAACAGTTTCAATTCAGTGAATGATTCAAGAAACTTGATTTTTTTTTAAAGTAAGATTGGGTGTTCAAATCTTATAATTTATGAATAAAAAATAGTTTAGAAATATTGAAGCCACTTTCACTAAAATATTTAGTTTTATGTTCAATATTTATAAAAATATTCCCTAATGTAAGCATAAATAATAGTTTTTATAAGTTGTTATTGATCCTTTTTTTTTTTGTTCAAAGAGGATTACCATTAATTAACTCTAAATGTTTACGTCAAGCAAGAAAGGGAGTCAACGAAAAATATTGATTCCTATTTTTAGTAATAAATATTTGGCAACAATTAAAAATTATTTTCTTAAAATAGAATAGACAACAATTTTTAAATATTGTAATAAAATTTTTGAATAGATAATATAAAAATGGTTGACGTAAACATTTTTTATTTTCTTAATAAATATTTTCTTAAAATATTTACTTAAAATATTTATTAATATTGATTCCTATTTTAAGTAATAAATATTTGGCAACAATTAAAAATTATTTTCTTAAAATAGAATAGACAACAATTTTCAAATATTGTAATAAAATTTTTGAATAGATAATATAAAAATGGTTGCTTATAAGTATGCTTTTATCACAATATTTCCAAGTAACAAAAACATAAATGTTGTTTGTAAAAATTTTTTTTGCATCATTTAAAAAATGTTGCTTTTTGCTTTTCTACACATAAAAATATTTTTTCAGTTTTTTAAATTTTTCTATATACTTTTATTTATTTTTTAAATTTTATTTTAATATGTATATAAATTCAAAAATTAATTTAACAATTATATGTATATATAATATTTTGTTTTGTAATATCTAAAAGTCATGTTGAAAGAGTGGTTAAAATCACACCTTCCCTTCAAAAGGTTTGTCCATGTTATGTGATGAGCAACTCTTTGAATCTGTTGCAATTAATTACATGATAATAATTATAGTTTAGTTTTTATAGTTCTTGTTATATTTTTAAAACCTTCATAAAAGGCAAAAATATTACAAGGCTTGACTATGGAGCTGATAACGCTAGAATTAATCCGTTAAATACTGAATATCACATTAGAAAAAAAAAAAAAAAAAAGAGGAAGAAGAAGGAGGGGGAGGAGGAGGAAAAGGATTCGGCACTTCACACCCAAGGCCTGCTCACTACTCAAGCGTGTTCCCCAAGTCACTATTACACTATTTATATATGCCATTCTCTTCTGCAGGGTTTGGGTTTGAAAAAGATGGAACGCAATGAGATCATGGAAAAAAAAAAAAAAGCTGTATATTTTATGCAAATTGTGCAAATGGATCATAATTGCAACGGAGGGTCCAGAGAGTTCCCAATAAATGGTTTCCATGTCATAGCTGACGTGGTTCACAGGACTTGCTTCATGGCAGTCTCTCTCAGCATTTTTGAAATCGTCAATGCAAAATGTGCAGCCTTCATATACCCACTCCAGGCATCAACCCAGGACCAGGACTTTCAAAATCCTAAGCGATAAGCTTCATCTACCCAATAAGGAGGCTGCTAGAGATAGAGATATTTCAATGGAGGTTTCATAGCTTCTCAGGTTCGCTATAATGACACCAAGGTCCACCCCCACGAGGTATCATGATATTTTCTTTCTTTTTTCTTGCTCATTAGCATTTTTTAATGGGGTCTTTAAAGTATTATTGGATATAAATATGAACACTTCTTCTAATACCAATTCAAACCTTAATTCATCACATTATAATATATTAATCTCTTCCAACATCATGACATGCATTTTCAATTGGCAATTTGTCCTTATGTAATGTCCCTGTAAACACACTATCTAAAATGCTAAAAGATTGATATTCCCACTGTATCTTCCACGTGCAGTGACGCTGAGATATATAGAACAAGGTCTTTCTGTCGCCAAGGACCAAGTGGGAACACTAAGATATTCCTAATGCTGATCTGAATTCTGAAGTTTATGTCAGTGCAAGATGGCCTAACTCTGTGTTGATTCCTTGAGCTCAATCCACATTTCTCAGCATCTTCTTACATTCAAAATCAATTGCATCTTTGGTTTCAACCTACTTATTAGGGTTAGGTGCACAAAAGGTCAATTGCTGCATTTAGTTTCATCATGTTGGTTCTCTCGTTTTCGTATAATGTGATCCATATGGTTATGTGAAAAATATTAAACAAACAAAAATTCAATAGAAAGCGTCTAGAGAAGGAAGACCAAAGCTATAATGGTTAAGTAGGTAGGTTACAACAGCCAAATCTCATTGTAGCTGGGACTAATTATTAAAAGAAAAAGAGGGGAAAATAGAGCTTGTAATCTTTAAAGTTTTAGTCAACTTAGATAAATGTTTTTATAGCTTTTTCATCTAATTAAGGATGGTCAATTTATGAAATTTTGGTGATCTTTAATCGAAGTTTTTACTGTTATCACATATTATCGTATGTGACATATCATCTTCAGAAATTTTGACTAAAGTTGACCATAATTTTAAGAATAAATTTCATAATAAAAGACTATAATAACTTTGATTTAAGTTAAACAAAACTATAGGAACTAAAACTATACCTTTTCCTATAAAAGAACTAACCAATATATGAAATTGAAAGAAACATAAAGTTTGAAAGGTCAAAAAGTAGTTATTCAACATTATATGAAACCGAGAGCAGCTGGGAAGCAAGCAAAGGTTGAATCTTTTTTAGTTTTAAATATTTACCTTTGGAATGTCAAAGTAGGTAAGGTTTTACCAAATTCTCTATAAATAGGAGCACCCTGATTTGCTCCATGCATCACCAATTAAGTCTCTATTTTCCATCCTTCTCTTCTCTGTGTTCTGTCATATATCCAACATGTCTCTCTCTGCTCTTTGTTCTCTTCTTCTTGCCACCACCTTGCTTCTCATGCAAAGTCTGACAGACGCTGCATGTTCCGATTGTTTTGTATCTTCTCGAGCATCCTATTACCCAAACTCTGATGAACAAGGAACAGATGGTAAGATCATAGACAACCCAGAAACAAACTTGAACTGAGATTTATAACACAACATGTTTTCTGACCTATATAAATATCCTCTTTGCGATATAAATATATTGCAGTAGGTGCATGTGGATTTGGTTCCTTTGGTGCTACAGTCAATGGCGGGGACGTCTCAGCTGCTTCTAATCTCTATCGAGATGGTCTCGGCTGTGGTGCCTGTTACCAGGTCACTATATATATATATATATATAAATTCATCATTATCTTACTTCTTAACCACTTCTTTATTTTCTAAGCCATGTTTTGTTTTTGTGTGTGTGTGTGTTTCATCGTCATGGTTCTAATCCATGAACTTAGTTTGCAAGCTTTATGAGCAAATTAGAGTAATGTAGTGATAACCAGCCAGCGCAAAGCTCAGTTGATTAGTGCTACGCTAGTTTAATCAGAAGTCTTGGTCGAGCCTTATATATGCAACTAAGTTAAATACTCGTAGAGATACTTTACTAACTTTGTGATCTGACCCGGCTTGATCCAGATTAGTCGGTATCTCAAAGACTCTGATACTGGGTGCACATCCAAAATAAAGTACAATAATAATCGGTGGTTTTGTTGTGTGGCTATATATAGGTGAGGTGTACGAACAGTGCTTATTGCTCAGACAATGGCGTGACGATAGTGATAACAGACCAAGGTTCAGGTGATAACACTGATTTCATTCTCAGCAAAAGAGCCTTCACTAAGATGGCTCAGACAAGTGATGCTGCTGCCACTTTGCTGTCTTTTGGTGTAGTTGATATCCAATACAGAAGGTAATTCATTAATTAACTCTAAGCTAAGATCTGTCATCTTAATTAAGTGATGATTCATTAATATTTATGACTGAGGTCATATTTATATATTATTTGTGTCTGCAGAGTTTCATGCAGCTACCCGTCCAAAAACATCACTTTTAAGATACATGAAAGTAGCAGCAATCCCCATTACTTGGCCTTCGCCATAGAGTACCAACAGGGAAAGACAGATATCACTGCTCTGCAGCTCTGTGAGGTATTTTTTTCTGCTTCCTTTTTTTCTCTTAATGATGAACACATTTCTTGCAGAATCAAAGAAACAAGTCGAAATATTTATAAGAGAAAATAAAACTTTTTAGTCCCTTAAATTTGTTTCATTTGTCAATTTGATCCCTCAAATTTATTTTTTCTTGAATCGGTTCCTTAAATTTGCTTTAGTTATTGATTTAGTCTTTAATATTTAAAGAAAAGATAACATTGTTAAGATTTACTAACATGGATAGCTGAATATTAATGATAGCTATATAGATTAATGAAAAAAAAATATAATTTAGGTAACTAGAAAAAATTACAGAAATTTCAAAAAACAAAATAAACCAACACAATGTAAAAAAAAAAACTAGATTAATACAAATTAAATTGATTTGAAAGTCAATTTGTGTTTTAAAATTTAAAAGACAACTATAATAATTTAAAAAAACATCTAGGACAAAATTAATAAAAATTAAAATTAAAAGATCAAATGGATAATTAAAATAAACTTAAAAAACTAAAAATTTCCTTATCCCTTTTGTTATCGTGTGTGAATAGTGTGTTATATATTGAGAAGTTTTGTTTAACTGTGTGTAGACTCAGAACTTTGTGTGCAAGTTACTGAGTAGGAGTTCCGGAGCTGTGTGGAGTGTAAACTCTCCTCCAAGTGGACCATTGTTAGTGAGGATGTTATTTAGTGATGATGATGGAGAAGACACGTGGGTTGTTCCTGTGAATAACATTCCTCAAGACTGGAAGGCTGGACAAACCTATGATTCTGGAGTTCAAGTGAACCAGTAGAGACAAGAACACCATAATATGATGTATTCATTTGCCATCTCTATTTACTCAAACAAATAAGTGATCACATTAATTCTAGTGTTTATTCCTATATCTTTGTTTGTTTGTTTGTTTTTTCTTCCGTTTGTAGTTTTGTGTTTCTCATAACAAGTAGTGATGGGAATTTTCTTTTCTTCTTCTTCTTCTTTTTGTTTTTTTTTTCGTTTTCCTTCTATTTCACTGCTTAAGCAAAGGAAAGCAACTTATCTTTCCACGGTGACACAAATATATTTCTCTGCGAACTAGACTACGACATAGGTCTTTACATCTTTATTGTCATATTTTTCGATTAAAATATGATGCGTGTATATTATGACAAAAAATAAAACAATATATATAAATATATAGTTAATATAAAAAAAATTATATGTAAATATTATTACTGTACTAGTGATCCTTATACTTGCCGTGCTTTAATAGGAGAAACCATTAATAAAAGAACATAATTTTATTAGGAAAACAAAACATAAACAATTGAACGTAAATTTTATTCTATAATTTACACTCGTGTTATTAATTTTTAATTATAAAAGAAGATTTTTCTATTAAATTTCACAGACTAAATCAAAAATTGAAGAAAAATTCATAAATTGTAAGATATTTTTTCAAAATTTAAAATAAGGTGGAACTTCAGGTAAAAGTTAAAGAATAAAATATCCTTCTTTCCTTCCCTGTTTCTCTCTGTATATTACTCTAATACTCAAATACCCAGCCCCAACATTTACCAACCAAATCTCACAGACAAGTGTAATTCAGAGAGCGAGTCTATCACATTTGTTGGAGAGCATTTAATCATTCCTCACCTTTCATTAGGAAAGGCGGAGAATGATGATTGATGATTGATTACTCTCTTGTGGCTGTTTCTTGTGTTTCCCCGTACTGCTTCCTTTTGCAGTATGAATTTCAGTGGGTCTATGCTTTGGAGGCTAGTTAAAAACTAAAATGATGTAAACAAATATGGGAATGATAATGGTTACCAAATATATGAATGAGAAGCTAAATACCAAGCTGGCCAATCTTACAATGTTATGAAACAATAATTTAAAACAACCTAACCAACAATCTCAACCGTTACCATTTTTTCCATTGATGCTACCTCTCAACTTGTATTCTGAACACTTCTTTTTCCACATAATGCTGTTCAAGTCTAGGAGACTATAATCAAAACCTTTACAGATCTTAGGGCGTCGCAAAACAAAAAAGCAAGAAGCAAAACGATACAAAACTCCCACATGATGCACATTCAGCAAGCACATCCACCTGACTGAGGTTGAGACTCGGTTCCACCAGAGGACTTGAGGTTCACGTCGACCAAATCTTCTTGTTTTGTGGAAGATAAAGTTTCCATTCCAGGTAATGCAGCAGCAATTTTCCGAAAGAGAGCCTGGATATTGGTTTGATAAAGCAGTACAGTGAGAACCAAGTATCTACAAAAACTACAGAAAATTTTCAAATTGAAGACAAAAGGGCATGCAAGGCAATCCAGTAGTTAACGCTACAGGGGTATTGGATTCCTGAAAGCCATCAGAGATATAATAAGTAGATAGACAAAACTCTCTTAATTTGTTGGAAATATATAGTAACTTCACTAGTGCCGACGACTTAGGTGTCATGATGGCACCACATGACCTCACTAAGCCTAAGGTTGAGGGTTCTACCCTTACTGCGGCATGGGTGTGAGTTTGGCTGTGTGTGAGACACTTGTAATTGTCCCTAGTACTATATAATATATAGTAAATTGACCATTGGAATGTGGTCTGCAACATTAATTTCAGTAGGAAAAGCCCTCCAAAACTTGGCATATATGATCCGCCATCGCAAAACTTCAGAACCATTTGCTAGGTAAATGACTAATCAAATCAAGCAAGAACATCTTTTTCACTTACTTGAGTCTCGTTAGCATAACTTTTTTTATCAGTCATTGTGCATGAGAAAGACAACGAATATATGAGAAAAAAGAGGGGAAGGGGGGGGGGGTTTACCTTGATATTGAAGCCAGCTTTGGCACTAGCTTCAATGAACATGACATTAAGATCACGGGCTTTTGCTTCCCCTTCCTCTGTGGAGACTTGCCTGGCAAAAAATATTTCTCATAAACAAAAGGCTATGTTCTGGCCAACTCACAGGAGTACAGGAGAAAGTACATGCAATACATGAAACCAAGAGCGTACACACATGTAACATCTTAACAGTCAAACCCATTCAAGCTAGTAAAGCGCCAAAAAACTATATCTAGACCTCATTTTTAAAGGACCATTAAAAGATGGAGGGCTATCCTAATTTCTTAGACTTCAAAAGGGGAAGACCAAAAGGTCTTGAGGTTCAATTGATGAAGTCCAAACAAGTATAAGAATATATATCTTTTTAAACAAGTATATGGTATTCAGCAAGAGATAGAGGAGGTGATGAATTGACAGTTTTATGTTATTTTAGCAAAAGTGAAAAGACAGAAGGCATAGTCCCATTCAACTAAATGATTTATCCCTTTTCACTACTCACAGGCTTCATCTATATGCCAAGTAATTAATTAATGAACTTATTGAAAGGTACAAGTGATCCGTCAAAAGACAAAATAGAAGCACAATACCATAAACCAGCCAGTATAAACCATCACCCAAAGTCGGATTTGTTTTCATTAGCCATTACCTCTTCTCAACAAGGTCAGTTTTGTTCCCAACAAGAACGATGATGACATCACTGCCCCTCTCACTTCGGACCTCTTCAATCCACTTCACTGTATTTAAGAAAGTTTGTCGACCTATACCATAATAATAATGAATGATCAGAAAGCACCATGCAAAGTGTTATAGAACTGCCAAAAAATTATGCACACATGATTCAACCCATGCAGAGAGATCCATGATGACTAAGAATCATAGCCTGCACCTGTAAGAGAAGGTGAATTAGAGGCAATTGTCCCCTGTTTGTTACCCCAGCTTCATAAGTTGTAGTCTTCATTCACTTTTTCCCCCCTAAATAAAACTATTCACTCACTACGATTCTGTCTTTAATAAGGGGGGAGAGAAGGGGGGGGAGAGAGAGAAGGAAGAAAAAGAAGGGAAAGGAAGGGCAAAGGGTGTGTCAAGCCTCCCCGCAATTGATATTGTCTGGACAGAATATTTCACAAATATCTGAAAAGAAAAATAAGGAACTGCTAATACAGGATGAAAAAATTACAATTTTTTATAAATGCCACATCCATGCACCTTTCAGAAATAGTTCTTCTCTTTCTTTGTAAATTTTTTTTTTTTGGGGGTGTGGTGGGGAAGCAAACAGAAAGACAAGGCCGGAAAGTATAGCTAACTATTACTATGATGCAAATGCTGCCAAGAAAATGTTACTAAGAAAGGAATAGTGAACAGAAGTTATTTCAAATGGCATACTTGCAACATCATAAACGATGACAGCAACAGATGAGTCCCTAATGTAGCTTGGAATAAGGCTTCTAAATCTCTCCTGTCCTGCTGTATCCCTGTCAACACAGTAAAAAGAATGAGGCATTTGAACAAAAATTTATAAATAAATCAATGAAGTAAAGGAATGATGCATAAAAGCCTGATATCTACCAAAAAAACACCTAATGTCATGGACCTCGCACCAATATACCAATATGTATTCTTCTAACACTTGAAGCAAGACCAGGCATTCAAAGCGAGATACAGAAATTAATAACATTTGCTCCAAAAGATGTATATTCCAACTTCCAAGATGCCTTAAAACGATTAGCATCATTCTAGCATTCACTCAGTCAATCTTAGGTTTAAAACCCATTTGCTTTCAATCAAAATCCAGACTAATGCAGGAGTGCATATAAAAACCATTAAAAAAGAATAACTACTATAATAACAAGAATAATGGAGAAAAAATCATATAAAGCGTCACAAAACATCATATCTTCCGAACTCCACTATTGGTGCACGGGATAAATCTTTGAAATCAAATAGAAAATATGAATTGGAGAAGAAACAAGATAAACATCAAATTGACTTTGAGTAGTTAAATTGTTATATCCTTCACCTCTTATTCAAAGAAAGTAAACTTTGTTCACTAAGAATGTAATATAATTCAAAAATTTTATTCAATTATTGACTATTTGACGATAAGATTCTAAAATGATGATACTACATCTTACCACAACTGCAACCGAACAGTTCGATCTTCAAGATACATAGTTTTGGATAGAAAATCAATACCAATTGTAGCCTGTATCGCAAATAGAAAAATAAGTTTTAGTGCTAGAGAAAGATAAAATTGTAAGCATCTAAAAGAGGGAAATGCAAATAGTGTAAACCTACATGGATCCACATTAGAAGGGAAACAATATGGAAATGGTTAATTAAAGTATTAAACCATACTAATACATAAACAAACTAAGCTGAAAACATGTAAAATACATTTTAATTGATAGGATGAATTATTGTGGTGAATATAGACGAAATGACAAAACTAGAGTAACAAACTACAATTATAAGACAATCAAAATGTGCTCAGGAAATTTACTGCTAAAAGTTGAGAATTTGACCAACATTAGTTCAGGACTTCAAGATATGAGTTATGGAACTAAAATCAAGAGGTCATACTTTTCCCACTACTTTACACCATCTTGCCAGGAAGGCAATTATCCTGAAATTTTCATTTTGCTAGACTCTTTCATCCTAGGATTGAAATTAGACACAAGTTTCTATATCTTCAATATCAGGTTCATCAATAAAAATATTACATGCAACAAATTTTTGAAAGGCTCAGTCATGTGATGCTGAGCTTTAAAATTTATACTCTCTCATGCTTTTACCAGAAACTATTGTAGAAAATATATAAAAATTCTATCTTATTCCTCTGTTCTATCCCTCCACCCAAGCTCTCCTTGAGTTGCCTTATAAATGATCAGATATTTCACCTAGTTAATGTTCCTAGAAATTAGAAGAATATTCACTGGGTTAATGAACATAAAGAAGAATATCTCAAGTCACACAGATGTCTCCCATATTTCTGTCAACAATAGCAATGATCGAAATTAGCAGAACCATCGCAAAACTGAATAAACAGTCCCAGAGAAAAATCGTGATCTCTTTGAGCTGTCCAGAAAGTGAATCTAATACATGATCAACTATAACGTCGTTAGCATTAAGCAGGACACATAACATCGATGATACACAGCTGGGTGTCTCTACATTTCATTTTTACTCTGGAAGGCACAATCTCCGGGGGATAAATCACTGGCGTAATAATGTAGATTCACAATTTTCTTATCCCAATCATGCATCTATGTCTCATGATCAAACAAACACGGATTTGGAAAGTTCCATTGGAAGTCCCAAAATCATCAGATCACAGCTAAGAAAAAGGTAACGAGCAATTCTATTTTTGCATAGAAAAACCGGATCTGGTTGATATGACAAATACCTGATAAGTGGTATCAAATTTATCATACATGAAGCGGGTGATGATGCTGGTTTTCCCCACGGATTGATCTCCCAAGAACACCAGCTTATACTTCGCGAGAGCTGACACTGGCGCCATTTTACTGCTATCTAGAAAATTAGGAGTGTGACTACACAGGGATGTGAATTCGCCGAGCAAGAACGCTAATTCCGAATCGTTTGTCTGGTCTGATCCCGGTAAGGGAGAACGGCGAGATTTGCTAATGCAAATGATCTCAGCGTAAAACAAAACAAAACAAAACAAAACAAAAACGCCAACGATACAACTATGAAGTCTTGTTTAGTGGGATTTGAGTAGAAGCAAACAAAAATTCATTGTGCGCCTTTTTTTTTTAATATTTTAAAGTGATAATATAATTTTTAATTCTTTTTCAATTATCAATTTTATTTTGTTAAAGTATACATTAAATTATTTAATTATTGAGTAAAGGTATAAATTTAACTACAAACTATTTTTGGAGAAACATTTAATAGCCTAAACTATCAGGTGATGCAAAATAAATCATAAATTTTAAAAAATAGAGCATTCAATAACCTACCATTAACTTCAACTGATTGACGACGTTATGTGAGACCTACAATAATACATGACATGACACGTCAGCATATTAAAAGTATAAATTTAGCTACAAATTATTTTTCGAGAAGCATTGTGTAGCTTCTATTATAAAAAAGGACCATCAAATACCGTTCCCTTAATTTTGATCAAACACCGTTTATTTTCATATTTATGAGATCCATACAGCATTGAACTCTTCAATCTTCTTGCCTTCGTTCTCAATCTCAACTTGAGAAGAAGAGATTTAAAGAGTTCTTATCTGAAGAGGTTCACAATGATGACGCTAATAAAGTAAAAGAAATAATTCATGACTAAATTAAACTAAAATCAAGCTTCTCTCATGCATAGTAAAATCAAACTTCTATTTCATTGACATCGTTCTTATGAATATCTTTAGATAAGCACTCATTAAATCTCTTCTTCTAAAACTTATATTGAGAACGAAAGTAAAAAGATTGGAGATATTAATGCTTTGTGGGCCTCATAAATATGAAAATAAATCATGTTTGGTTAAAACTGAGGAAAATGTGTTGTATGATCTTTTTTTTATAGTAAAAACTACCCAATGCTTCTCAAAAAATAATTCATAATTAAATTTGCACATTTACCATGATAACGTGTTATGCCTATATTGTTCCATGTGTCATTATGGGCCTCACATAACGTTCATTAGCTGAAGTTAACGGTGGGTTACTGATACTCCATTTTTAAAAGTTTGTGATTTATTTTAACCATTTAATTTTATAAAATATTTGTTTAGTCTTTTAACTCTAAAAATGTTAATTTTGTTTTAATATATTTTTATATTAAATTTTTAAATATTAATAAAATATTTTTAAATATTGATATATTAATTTTAATTTTTTTAAAATAATAATAATTGATACAAAAATTAATCATTTAAAATTAATGATATTAAGATTAAAAGATTAAAAAATACTTTATAAAATTAAAAGATCAAATTAAAAATTTATATAAAGTTTGATGATAAAAAGTATACTTTAATCATTTTATTCTCTACATCTTACTATATTTTATTAAGAATTTATAGCAACTGAGTTTATTGAATCATTAAGAAATTAAGAATTTATAGCAACTGAGTTTATTGAATCATTAAGAAATTATAAAGATTAACTTATTTTGAATCAATAAACTATGAGGAATAAATTAATCCAAATTAAAATTTAAAGACTCAATTGATGATTAAGAAAAAAATTCAGGGGCAAAATTACTTTACTTCTATTTTAAAATTTAAAACGCACTGCAGTAATAGATCAAAAATCCAAATTTACAGAATGTGTCCCTACTCTCTGAGTTGTCACTTTTCGATTTCAGTTTGGTGGGGGGAAAACTTCATACAAATACCAGCTTTACTTTAACTTACAGATTAGAGATATAGGCTTTTTTTTTTTTTGGGGGGGGGGGGGGGGTCCATGTATTAACTTATATAGATTATAGTCTAAACACTAAAGATGGGGCGGAGCTACCACAGTGCAAAGTGAGATTATTAAATTATTTACAATATGATGAAAATTATAATTTCACTTTTAACTATAGACCCAAAAACATTTAAGATGCTAAATTTATTTTTTGTGCATTTCAGCCCTGGACATTTAAATTCGTGCAATATTTTCCCTATAATAAACTTTAACAGTGAGTTAAAAACAAATATACAATAAAGGACTTCAAAAATTAAAAAAATTAAAAGAATAATAGAAAATGATATAAAAATTATAATTTTTTTTCCTTTTCTATGATTATTTTGGTAATTTTTTAATAATTTTTGACATCTTTTTTTTAATTTTTTAGTTAACTCACGGTTAAAGCATGACTTTAAATATTTAGAAGTCAAAATGCAAAAGACAAAAAACAAAAGAAACTAATTTAAGGTTTTAAATATTCTTAAACTTATAATTTAAGGTTTAAATTATCATTTTATCCTTTATGATAGATACCAACAAAAGTTGATTCATTTAATAAGGCTTTGCTTGAGATAGTTGGTTCAAGTGTTATTTGAACTGAGAGTCATACCTTAATGCGCGAAAATAACTTAACTCACCTGAATTTTTACAAAATTTCAATAAAAAATATTAATAAACAAAGATAATTTAAATTGCCATTACGAATATATCCTTTTTTTATAAATATCAGTACATGTTGGCATATGCGCGTGCACATTTTTTGGTCACCGATGAGTTTAGAGGTGGATCAATATGCAACACCGTGAGCCTTAATGCTTAGCCTCTTTATATGATGCTCTCCTATATATATTTGTTCGTGGAAGAATATATGCTTCCGCCTTCCAGTTCTCACATAGCATTCATGTGGGCATTTCTCTTCCAAATTTTCATTGGAGACTAATTCCTGCTACTACATCCAGATCTCCTGGTTGCCGGGCTTTTAATATAATAATAAAAGTTCGAATTATTAGTTATAATGATAAAACATTTAAGATATATTATCTAAGGAACAGGAAGACAGGAGCAGTGGGCAGAATCCTGAAGATTCATGGGGACTTTAAGAAGGTATTGCTGGGGTAGACAAGTGAACGATGCAAAGAGAAATCCCACATAACTGGAAGAGATTGTAATTCTCCTTCGTCAATGGAGACGCTTCACCTTTCTCTGCAAATCCTTCCTGGCACGTCGATGCGGCTTCCATGACGGAGCTCATCCACGTCTTGGTCGTCTCATAGTTCTCCGACAAGAAAGCTCCGATGGAATTCATGATCCTCCACGCAGCATCAGAGTACAGCTCCAAGCAGTCTCTCAAGCAAGCCCTCAACGCAAGCTCTTCATCATCACCATCCAAACTTGTGGTGTTCATCATCAGCTTTTCTATGGTGGACAGTGTGGTGGTTGCGTTCTCCAGAGCCAGCTCCATGGCGATCAAGGCTAGCCCTTGAAGATTCGCAGCATGGCTCACTGGAATCACCTGAAGAGACGTCGAGCATAAGCCGTAGTTCAAGATGATGGATCGGTTCTCACATTTTTTGCAGGTTTGATCGATCAAGTCTTCGGCGTTTATGGTAGAAACTGTAATGACAAAGAAGAGGAGGCAGAGAAACGAAGACTCAGACATTAATTCGTTAAAATGTTATACACTAGTTGAAGAGAGATTGTATGTGGTTCATGTGTGTGTGGGGTAAATATATACGAGCATGGGATTTGCAGCTAAGTGGGAAGCAGGACAAAAGGTTAAAAAATGGCAAGTGGGAAGGAAGTTTCCTGCTTGCTGGGTAGATTTTATTTCGTTATGATCTCTTATATATATATATATATATTGACGAATGAGGAACAAGAGAGTGTTATCTTGCTTTTCATGTATTGATGCTATATATGAAGATACATAGTACTGTCAAATTCTGAATTATTTATTGATAGGGTCTGCGCTTGGCGCTTTCATAGGAAGGGTTTTATAACTGAGAAGCTTCCTAGGAAGGTTGCATTCACAAACGTTCAATTTACAGGAAGGTTGCATTCACAAACGTTCAATGGTTTTTATTATGTATGTATTTATTAAACATGTAAGATGTCTTATTAGTAACAATTTTTTTTTCCTCTTGAAATTTTTGTGCTTTTTAAGTTAGCCCTATTATAAGAATTCAGAGGTTGAAGAAATTAGCCTATTTTTAGAGTTGGCCCTTTTGAAAGATATTATAATCAAAATAATAATTCAGAAAAGAATCAAGTTAGAATTTTATTAAATTCAAGCATTTGTAGAGAAAGAGAGAAAAGAAGAACTTTGGGATGAGTTTTCCTTTCAACCATCCACCATTATTTATAATACGAGAAACTGCCATGAAATGGCAAATTTCAACTGTCACAAATTCATCTCATTATGAATAGAATTATCGTAATGGGATATTTCACTTTAAAATGAAAAAATAAATTTTTTGATTTGAATTCAATCAACAATTATTTCTCAATAATTCCCTGGCCAAACCTCAGTAAATAATGACCTGATTTCCGTCAGGAAATCGGTAATTCCAACACCTTTAGGAAATACTAAAAGTATATTTTGTTGTTTTGTGTTAAAGGAGAGATGTCTCTTTCCCATTCTCGAATTGGTCTTCACAGATAACAGAGGCATCCGTTACTGTGCTTATCTTGGTACTTGCTGAGTAGAAACCTTTCGTGTCATCCAAATCTTGAGAGAGAATCTGAGTAAAAATCAAAACAACCCTCCAATTCTTGGCACAATCAGTAAACTTGTGATCCTTCAAGAGATTGGAAATGGTGAAAACAATGTCAGTTGCATTAAAATGTAAATGACCAATAATTGGCGTATGTGACGATTGATATTCTCAATGATACCTTTGTCTCTACTGCTCCTTCCGTTTCTTTGTATGAGGAGAAAAAAAAAAAAAAACCGTTTATGCACTCTCAGTGACTGGCTGGCCATGTCATTTGTGTTTTGGATGCGTTGGCTCTTCATCTTAATGCACTTTTGGAGTCTCTTCTGTCATTGGGCCTATCTTTTAATTTGGGCCTTACTGAAAATGGTTTTGACTTTTTTCCCCATTCCAAATTAGTCATTTGAGAAGGTTAAAATCTCAAAAACACTCTCATGTGACTTGATTTGACCTCATCTTGCATGGTCATCTGTGACTTTATATTTAAAAAAAAAATCTAAAAAGCACGTTCTCAGTCTTCAGAGTTCAGACCTCCAAGCATCACCTCAAAGGGGGACAAAAATGAACCAACAAAAACTGCAGACTGCACACGGGTTTCGACCGAAAAAAAAAAAAAAAGGCTTAAAAGACCATATTTCATTTCCATATATAGGAACAGCGACTTCAAACTTCACAATTTCATTATTTTATATGATTTGAGGAAATAGACAGATGTAACCTTGTACACATCATGGTATATGAAACATTGAAAGCCCAGAGAAAGATATTGCAGGGTGTCGTTTCAAGAGTATTTGTGCATCTTAATAAAAGCCAAAGACATTGCGTTGAGCTCAAAGTATATCTTATTGTCATTTGTTAAAGGAGACTTTTCTTTCCCACTTTTGAATTGGTCCCCACAGGCAGCACAGGCATCCATTGCTGCACTTATCTTTGTAGTTGCTGGGTTGAAATCTCTGGACTTGAAAGCAGCCAAGGCGTCATCCAAGTACGAAAGAGATTCTGAGTAATCATCAGAGCAATCTTTCAAGCATTTCTTGGCATAAGCACTGAACTTAGGATTTTTCAAAAGATTGGGAAATGTTGGAGACTATGGTAGTTGCATTGGACTTGGTTATCTGAATTGTCATGACTACAAGCTCCTGGAGTCTAGTGGGTGGACTCAGAGAGTTGGCCACAAGGGCCGCAACGCAGAAATTATAGTTGACGTTGGCGTCACATTTTGAAGCGTCTTTGCAAGACTCAGTAATGAGATGAGAGCCACTTGAGATAGTCAACAACACAGGCAAAATCAGTACGAGATAGATGGGGGCCATCAACTTCATTCTGTTATTGATAGTATTTTTTTTTCTTATGATTTTCTATGATCGTCAAAATCGAACTTACTCTAGAATATATTGACAGTAAATGGTGGCCGAGGGAACGAAATTAATTGGCGATATTTAATGGCATTAATGTTGGAATATTAGGTATGTTTGAGAGTTGAGAATGGAACAGGACAAAAGAGGACCATGGCTAGTAATGCTTAGAAGTGCGGCTAGTAATGGATATCATTACTCACCTACATATGCTTTTCTTATCTCTTTTTTTTTTCCTCTCTATATATTTTGAAAGTAAGATTTGAGGTTGAAATATAAGGATTTTTGAATTTAAGGCTTAGATCCAAAGCCATTGGTCTAAATGGGACTAATGAAAGTTATTTAAATATTCTACACATAGTTTAAAAGTTTTTACAAAGTTGTAAGCTTGAGTCATCTACTTTAGATGAACCTTAAATCTCCAAAATGTGCTTTTTGGATTGTTGGGTGTTATATTAATGATTACTTAAATTAATGGAAGCTAAATGGAGTTAATGAAAGTAAATAAATCTAATGGTTATACTTAAGTGCAAGAGATTGAAATTTTAGAAAATTAATAGAAGTTGAATGAGTGCTTATAATGATATTAATGATAATTGGTATGATTAATTATGAATTAATCATCTTGTGCATTATTCAAGTCTTGGTGTAGCTTGTGAAGAACTTTTATTGAGGGGTAAACCTTTAACCTCTCAAAGGTTTGAGGTAATTAAAAAAAATTCAATTTATACATTTATTTGTTAATTAGTTATAGTCATTTATAATTGAATAGAAGATATGAGTATGTTTTTGAATATATGAAAAAATGCAAATTGTGGCATTAAGTTAATATTAAAAGATTTTATTGTGAAAAAAAATTTGATTGTGTGAAATTATTTCTTTTACTTTGTTTAAGCATAAATTGAAGAAAATATAGATTTGGAAAGTGATGAAATTGTGATGGGAGTGTAGGAGAGTATGAGATTTAATGAGTATGATATATGTACGCCATATAAAGAACTTGATGAGTAATTGCATTTCTTATGTGTTCAACATGATTTCATTGCATGATAATATGAGGCGAGGTTTCACATATAAGAAGAGGAGTAGATAATGGAAATTCATGTGGTGGCCGTTATTTGGAGTTCAATGACTTGCCTCTTTATTTTATTATCCCACTTATTCTTCGAGGGATTATCCTACTTGTTCATCGAGAGATTTAAATCTAATTAGTTTCCATTGATTTATAACGAGGCTAGATTAAGGGTACAACACCACATAATTATTAGTATCAAAGGAAACCATGACTCACAAATGAGTGTAGTAGCCTTGGCAAAGCAACTCCTTAGAAGTGGAAGGCTTGGTTAATCCGATGACAAGAATGAATCCCATTAAATAACCACCGATTTCATGTCGAAGGTATCAAGAAGGTATAAGGTTGACATTGATCATGCATATCATTATATGGCCACATGGTTGTTATTTTTATGGTCTTCCACATTTTATAAAAGACACTTAATTGTTAGTGTTGTGACCCTTATACGCTAAATAATCTAATGTCGCATGATTGTTAGTTTTGTGACTATATGAATTGAGCAGTTTAATATGTGAATATGTTTCATTTGAATATGTCATTTGCATCACTATGATTAATTAACATGAATTTGTATAGGCTAGATTAACTTTGATTACTGAGTGGTTATACTTACCCTTCTCTCTTTAATATTATAGGTGTTAACTCATCAGAACAAAACCAAGGGAAATAGTCAAAAGTTTAGGATTTCTATCCTAGATTTGTAAGCCTCATTTATTTAAGAGTTGATGTGTATAATTTATCTTAATAAAGCCAACTAAGAGATTGCATGTTTTTGCTTACTTGCACTATTTGATTCTTGATTTAAGTTGTATATTTTAGGCCATAGGTTGTATGTGAATTAAATATGACATCTAAATAGGGCCAAAATGTTTGTGTAAGTAAGAAGTGAATATATTTGTGAATGATGATGATTTAGATGTGGAATTACATGATTGAGACTCCTCTTGTCATTTTTTAGATTAAGGGGTTGAGCATTAAAAATGTATTATATATGTTATTGGATTGTTGTGGTGTATTACTTAGGTCTTATTAAGTCTATTGAGTATGATCTAAGGGTGGTTGTGAGCTTATAACACTTAGTTGTGATCTTGGATACCTTAATTATCTTTTGAAAGCACAAATGAGTGAGTTTGCATTTTGGTGTCCAACTTTTAATTAAAAAATAACTTGAATATGAAACCAGTGCCATTAGTTAGAGCTCGAAGAAAGCTTTCTGTAGATGCTTAAATTATCTCAATTGGACATCTAATTAAGAAATGGGGAGCATCAAAAATCCAGTTAGAAAATTTGCCATGACAACATGTTGTCATGGTTTTGCATTTTACACCGCAATGTAAAATTTTATGTTGGGTATATTGTACCATAATCATTGCGCTTGCTCTTTTGACCTCAATTTGATGTTATCTTGCCTTGTATGATATTCATGCTTTTATATATAGGGTCCCAATCTTGGAAGAAATGTGACATTAAGAGCTATTCATAGAAGTGATATACTATTAAGTTTTATAAGGGATGTAACCCCTATGCCTTGATTTTAGTTTATAAAATGGTTTTATAGCATTTTAAGTTTTGAAAAATTGAGATCCCATTTATGTAAGATTTACCACTTAGTAATTTACTTGGATTAGTCTTATTATTATCTCGATTTTAAAGTTAATTGTAGATTAGTAAGGAAGATCTTATAATATAAGGTCAAAAAAAAATATTAATGCACGATGATTAATGGGTTGTTGCATGTAAAGATAAAGATGGACATGAATAGCAAGATTTAGATTCAGTGAATGGATGGCTCACTTAATAAATGTCTCACATAATATGATAACAATTGTTTGAATTGATTGAATAGTTATCAAAGATTTTATTATATGATATTTTGAAAGTACAAAATCTCATATTTTTAAAGGAGACAGTGCTTACCAAGAGTGTTTTGATTGTAAGGATTGTTTTAAATTTTTTAAGGAAAATACTTCCTCCAATTCAAAATATAAGCCCTTTCTTCCAACAAATCTTAATCTAAATATTGGTAGTTGTAGAATTCTTTTTTTCATTTAACCCATTGTATTTATTAACCCAAACTCCTGTATGAATTATGACTTTCTTTCCCATCATTGGTTATTGGAATTAAAGGCAAGAAGGAAAAATAATATATATTTTTATGAGAATAAAGATTTTATTAAAATGTAAATTATTATTGAAAGTTGCTTATATTTTAAACTAAAAGGAGTATATATCTTAATAATTTTCAAGTATTGATAAAATTTAATGATTATAATTAATATATTGAGTAAGTAAACTTAAACCATTTACTATATTCAAATCCTATAAGTAGCATGTAGTAAAAAAGAAAATTTAACTTTTGAAATGAAAATAAAATTAAAGGGGAGTTGCGATCAAGATTTTAAAGATAATTTTTTCTTGGAACTATCATTTCACTCATTAGATTAAATTTGAATGGTGTGGATTTAACATTTTACAAATTTCTATATTTATTACATATATAAATTATTTTAGCAATTTTGATTTATTTTACCTAACAATTGAAATGAGAATTGAAGAAATCACTCTTAGATTTCACGCAAACAATTGAATATCAAAAAATTTTATCAAATTATACAAAATTACTTTGAAACCACTTTTTTAGTTAACAAAAGTTAACTGTTACTGCTAGATAATTGTTAATTATTGCTACTTTACTGTCAATTAATCAATTTCATTAATAAATATTCAGTAATAATTAATAATTTTAACATATCAAATTGACAAATTTATAGTAAAAGACACCTCAAAGTAACTTTACAACTTTTCTAAATTTAGATTGCTTGTGTGGAATTTAAGATTAATTTTAGGACAAGATTTATATATTTAATTTTATATACTTAATATATTTTTATTCAATTAAATTATGACACAAAGATTTCAATGTGTTAATTAATAACAAGAATTTATTATAAAATAAATAATTTATGAAAAAATATAGGTATCTTGATTTAATTAGAAACAAATATCTTAAATATCTATAAATTTTTTCCTTGATTTTATTATGAAAATTAGATATGTAAAATAAGAGAAGAATTCGATGATGATGGAAAAACTTTAATACTGATCGTTCTATAGCTCATTCACTTCCTTGGCTATGATATCTCATATAAAGATGGAAAATGAGCAGATTTGACTCATATAGGCTCTACTTTTAAAGACTAAAGCTCATAAGTCTAGTTATTCTTAAATTCATTATTTTTTAAAGTCTAACACTTATTTAGAGAATTCAGGGTTGGGCCATAAGCACATTTTTATTTTTATTTTTTGAATTTTTTAAAAATTAAAAATTTTTATTATAATATTTCATATTTTTTAAAATACATGTTACAATATTCAAATTAAAATAAATTATAGAAATTCTTATATTAAAGGATAAACATATATTTTAAAACCTAAATTTAATTTAAAAATTAAAAATATTTTATTTTTAAGGATAAAAATAAAACAAGCCTAAAAGGCCACCTAAGCCCAAGCTATTTTTTTTAAGGCTTATCAGATCCAAATTTTAAAGTCTAATTTATTTAAAAAAATGTCATTTTTTCAAATTAGAGCCTTTATTAAAAAGGGCTTGGCTGGCCCGCTAAGCTCAACTCCTATTCCTACTTTAATATTGGATTCTTTTTTCAGGAAATGAAGAAGAGACTCAAGGACTCGTTTATTAGCCTGAAAAGATTTTCTAGGAATTGAAAAGGAAAATGAAATTTTCTAGTCTTTAACGGAATAAATTTTTAGGCTCGAGGTCATGATTGGTATTTTCTTCGGCCAAAAAAACATGATTGGTGGAGACATATAAAAGGAAAAGTAAATTGAATCATATAACATCATTCGGTTTATATGTACATCTATATATATATAATAGAAGAATAACAAGCGCATCTCTATGAATGACAAGTGTCATTTTTTCAAATAGTACAATTTCAAAAAAGTCACATAAGATTTTATTTACAAAAATATTTTTAATTTATGAATATAATTTATTTTTATTCTTTCATTTCAGTAACTTCTTAACCCATGATCTAATAATTTCCTAACTCCACGATTCCTTTTTAGATATGGTTAGTTATTCAATATTTTATCATTTAAATTGTAAATTAATATAAATAAACAAATAAAAATTGAATTAAATTCGTATGACTTAATAAAATAATTACATTAAATTCTTTATATGTTATTAATTAATATAATTCTCATTTATAATTTAATTAAATATATATGATTTATGAATTGAGTATTTAATGGATATTAAGTTAAATTATAATATTTAAAATAAATATAACAACATAATTTTCTTGATATTTTAATTGTCATCTCGTGCAGACATGTAAACAATAAAATAAAAATCTTATTTATGAAATTCTTAATTTTCTTTATTTTTTTGATTCATGTATATAATTAAATTTAAATATAGATATTTATTTAGATTATTTATTTCGGTAACTTCTTAGCCCGTGATCTAATAATTTCCTAACTCCACGATTCCTCTTTAGATATGGTTAGTTATTCAATATTCTATCATTCAAATAAAAAATTAATATAAATTAACAAATAAAAACTGAATTAAAAAAACTACGAGCAGAGGTTTATAATGGTTTAGCAGATGCAGTTTTTAGAGGTGATACTCAGGCTTCATTTGTAGGGAAACGAGTAATCCTTCCATCTTCTTTCACTGGTGGTGCCCGTTATACAATGCAAAACTACCAGGATGCAATGGCTATTTGTAGATGGGCTGGGTTTCCAGATTTGTTCATAACTTTTACAGTTAATCCAAAATGGCCTGAAATGACTAGATTTTTGGAAGCTCGTCAACTTCGCATAGAAGATCGTCCTGACATTGTCACACGTATATTTAAAATGAAGATAGACTTGCTTATCAAAGATATTAGAAAAGAGGAAATTTTCGGAAGTGTTAAAGCAGGTATTACTCAAACTACATTAATAGGCTCCTTTTACTACTCTTTTTTAGTTTACATATGCATTTGTAATATGCATGGTTTATTTCTATTTCTTTCTAATATTTGTTTTCATGTTTTTATGTTACAGTTCTATATACAATTGAATTTCAAAAGCAAGGTCTTCCCCATGCTCATATTTTGGTTTTCCTTGCAAATAAAGATAAGTTATCTACTGCTAAAGATATTGACAACATCATTTCAGCAGAAATCCCTGATAAAGAAGCACAACCTGAGTTACATGATGTAGTGGTGAATTACATGTTACATGGGCCATGTGGAATAGCTAATCCTCATTCTCCATGTATGGACAAAGGAATATGTACTAAGCAATTCCCAAAAAACTTTAACTCTACAACAGTGATCCATGAAGATGGATATCCAAGGTATAAAAGGAAAGATAATGGTGTACATGTCATGAAGAATGGGATCCCATTGGATAACAGATATGTTATCCCCTATAACATAACTCTTTTATTAAAATATGGAGCTCACATTAATGTTGAAAGATGTAATCAAGGAGACTCCATTAAGTATCTTTTTAAATATGTTAATAAAGGTTATGATCGAGTTACTGCTGCATTCTATACTCAAGCAGATGATGTAAGTGAGGGTTTGGTTCATGATGAGATCAAAATGTTTTTTGATTGTCGATATGTTTCGTCATGTGAATCAGTTTGGAGGATCTTAGGGTTCGATATTAATTATAGAAATCCCTTTGTTGAAAGACTATCATTTCACTTGCCTAATCATCAAATGGTGGTATTTGAGGAGAATGAAGATCTACAAGATGTTATGTCTAGAAATAATGGGAAACCGACTATGTTTGAAGCTTGGTTCATTGCTAATGCTAAATATGAAAATGCCAAAGGTTTAACTTACTCAGAGTTCCCTATGAAATTTACATATCACAAAGATACTTGTGAATGGACACCAAGAAAAAAAGGATTTTCCATCGAAAGGATGTATTACACACCACCAGGCAGTGGTGAGTCATACTACTTGCGCATGCTTCTTGCAACCATTAAAGGCCCAACCTCTTACAAATCCCTTCGTACAGTGAATGGTGTCTACCATAATTCATTCAGAGATGCATGTTATGCTTTAGGATTGTTAGATGATGATAAAGAGTATACTGATGCGATACTTGAAGCAGCTTAATGGGCCTCAGCCAACTATTTGAGACGGTTGTTTTCAACCTTATTAGCCTGTAACTGTTTATCACGTCCAGAGTTTATATGGAGACAAATTTGAAAACCATTATCTGATGACATATTGTATCAACAGAGATAAATAACAGGACACCAAGGTAAATGTGTACATATTATTACCTGCATCTTATCATTACAATTCATATTTCTTTGTCTTTAATTTTACTTCATGAAATGCTATTAAAAATACAACATTTTACACACTTCTAACTATTTAAGTCCATTAGGTTTTCAGTTATTTGATGAAGAGTTGCAAAATTTAACCTTGCTTGAGATTGAGAAGCTCTTGAATGTAAATGCAAGGACATTATCTAAGTTTGGTTCTATGCCTTTGCCACAGTCATCTGTTATGGAATTAAGGAGCAACAAACTTATGCGTATGGAGTTGAGCTATGACAAAAAATTATTATCATCAGAATTAATTTGTTTGTTGAACAATTTGACTCCTGAACAGAAGAAAATATATGACCAAGTGTTATCTACAGTCAAAAGTAATAATGGTGGCATGTACTTTGTTTATGGCCATGGTGGAACTGGAAAAACATATATATGGAATACATTAAGCACCTCCTTACGTTCTAAGGGAAAGATTGTTTTAAACGTAGCTTCAAGTGGTATTGCCTCATTATTATTGCTAGGAGGTAAAACTGCTCATTCTCAATTTCGCATTCCAATTGCAGTTAATGAAAATTCAATTTGTAATATAAAACATGGTAGTCATCTTAGTGAACTGCTTATCAACACTTCCCTAATAATATGGGATGAAGCACCCATGGCTAATAAATTTTGTTTTAAGGCTCTTGATAAGTCTCTGAGAGATATCATGAAAGTTCAACAAGTAGATGCTGCGTTAAGGCCCTTTGGTGGCAAAGTTATTTTGCTTGGTGGTGACTTTCGACAAATTCTTCCAGTTGTGCGAAAAGGTAGTAGAGAGGATATTGTATTTGCTGCAATCACTTCTTTATACTTATGGAAAGATTGTAAGGTTTTTACATTGACTAAAAATATGAGACTATTGACCAATGCAACATCTAAAGATGCAATGAGAGTTCAAGAATTTGCAAACTGGATTATCTCAATTGGTGATGGAAAAGTTGACGACAACCATAAAGAAGCAGAAGAAATTACAATTCCAGATGAGTTATTGTTAAACCCTACTCAAGATCCTCTTAGGTGTATTGTTGATTCCACTTATCCAGAACTGCTACAGAATATACATAGTGCATGTTATTTCCAAGAGCGTGCTATCTTAGCTCCAACATTAGTAGTTGTTGATGAAGTCAATGAATATGTTTTATCTATGCTCCCTGGTGATGAAGTTTGCTACTTAAGCGCAGATACAGTTTCCAAACAAGATGAAATAGGAGGTGCTTTACAGGATATTCACTCGCCAGAATTCTTGAATTCATTAACAATGTCAGGAATACCTAATCATGAAATCAAGCTTAAAGTAGGGGCTCCTATTATGCTCATGTGAAATATCGACAAATCTATTAGTCTTTGTAACGGTACTCGATTAATTGTCAGTAAACTTGTCAGACATGTCATTGAAGCTGAGATCATGACAGGAATCTCAAAAGGTTAAAAAGTTTTAATTCCTCGAATGACTATTACTCCATCAGATGCAAGTTTACCTTTCACAATATGCAGATGCCAATTCCCTATTATGTTGTCCTTTGCAATGACGATTAATAAGAGCCAAGGACAGAGTCTCACAAATGTTGGATTGTACCTCCCACGACCTGTATTTACACATGGTCAGTTGTACGTTGCTATATCTCGAGTTCGTAGCAGATGTGGCTTGAAGATTTTAATTCTAGATGAAGAGGGTAAACCAACAAACAAAACCAACAATGTTGTTTATAAAGAAATCTTTAATGGTTTGACATAGATTCACATATAAGGTACATGCTCGAATTAAACCTTGCCTCTTATCTATCATCTATTAGTGACTCATCGTTAAATAATATATCATAAAAATTTATATATAATTATTTTATATTATGTTTTCTTATATTTGCTAATTGTTCCTTTTCAAATATTCAAAATTAACTTGCCAATTATGTTCTTTTATTCATATTCTTCCTTATATTTAACATCCACATAAAATTTTATCATTTGTTTCAGGAATATTTTACCAAGTTTTGTCGGTATTTATGGCTAGAGCTGTGTTCAGGTATTACATGAATTTTATTATCTATGATTGAACAACTCATTGATGAAAAAAAGCACACCATCATTTACCTCCCTCCTATATATATATATATATATATATTACCTCATGTTTAAATAAATTGTTGAACATTCATTCCTGTTAGATATATTGCATATTATATTAGATGTATTTCATTTGTGTATGTTATGATTTCATGCCTATATCTTTTGTAGTACACTCACATCTATTATATTTAGAAAATGTTTTCTACATGTATATTTAAATAAATGCATGTGTATATGTGTTGATTGAGTACTGATGTAATTCCAGTTTTAAGTATGGTCGAAAACTAAATATAGTCACTTTTCTCAATAGGAATTTGAATCTTGATTCATCACATTTTGAATTCATTTATATTGCAATTGTTTTATTATTGCAATACCATCATATATTTTAATTATTTTAAAATATATTTTTTATTATAACTTTATTTAAATAACCTCATTTAGTAATACAAGTTGAATTAAAAATTATTATAATTCTTATAAGAGGACCCGTGCATTGCACGGGTGAAACACTAGTTAATTAAAATGATGGGAATGAACAGTTGGGCGTATGATTTTTAAAGTGCTGGCAAATGTTTTAAGGTGAATAAAATAATCTCTTGATTTAAAATACTCAACTTTGTCGGCCTTGAAGTTAATATTAAATATATTAAGTTCCTAACTACTTAAAACCAAATTGATTTATAGGAAGGGGCTGGAAAAATAAATAAATTGAAACTTATTTAATTTTCATTGCTTTACTTTTAAACTCTCCTAAATTAAATAAGAGGTAGCATATGTGCAGTGAGGAATTCAGGGGAAGCAGGGTCAAATTGCTCCCATGACCCATAGTATGCAGCCTTCTTTGTAATAATGTTTGGTTTTATTTATAAGATTTGAAACCAATTTTAGCCCCCACTTTTAGATAAATTTCTATTTTTGGTTACCCCACATGATGGCTTCTAATTTGGTTATTGAATATGATCCAACCTGAATTATATGAACACGTTTGTATGAATTGGTGGAGAAAATGAATTACATTGATGCCAACCCATAAAAAAATGAATTATATTCCAACCTAATATGAATTGGTGGAGAAAATGGATTATGTTTTATGTTATACCAACATATGAAAAAATGAATTCCAACTTAAAGAAAAATGAATTAGTTAACCTAAGTCGTGTGGGTTGGCTGGCTTTAACCAATTTAAATAATTTTTAATCTTTTTTATAAATTAAAAAAATTATTTAATCAATTAAAATTGACAGGGTTCAAATTTTAATATATAACAATTTAGTTTAGAGATGTCTATCATTTGTTCTAGGAAGATAATTTTTATCAGTGGAGTCTTAAAAAAAATTAAATCTAATCCATACAACCCACATCAAATCCTCATAACATGATTCACATCATCTAACCTAAATTATTTGTAAAGAACAAAACATAAATTACAATATTTTGTAAGACAAAAATGAAACGCATCAATTTAACGTGGCATAATATTCATCACATGGAATGAGTTTGACTCTTTATTATATATATAAACTAGGTTTTCTCAGTTTATAGCTCCTTTAACCGACGGGTAAAACAATAATTCAATTCAGAAACAGCTTTCAACAGAAAAGCGTCAAGACCTTGCATCATTTCCATAGAAACGACTTTAATTTGAACTATACATACAATATGTCATCATTTTATATGATCATTTGATGAAATAGCTGGCTTGGTAAGAGTACTGTAAAAAAGTTCAGAGAGAGATGTTGCAGAGTCATTTCAAAAGTACTATTGATGCATCTTGATGAAAGCCAAAGACATTGCATTAAGTTCAAAGTACATGTTGTCATCCTCTGTTAAAGGAGACTCTTCGTTCCCATCATGGAATTGATCTTCACAGGTAACAGAAGCTTCCATGGCTGCGCTTACCTTTATACTTGCCGTGTTAAAATCTTGGGACTCGAAAGCTCTTATGGCGTCATCCAAATCAGAGAGAGAGTCTGAGTAAAGTTCAGAACAATCTTCCAAGCATTCCTTCGCATATTCACTGAATTTATTATTATTGTTGGGGTCCTTCAAAAGATTGGAAATGGTGGAAACTATGTTTGTTGCATTGGACTTAGTCATCTGAATCGACATGGCCACAAGATCTCCGAGGCTGGCTGGTGGAGCACTGCTCTGAGAGATCATGGCCTCAAGGCTTCTGACGCAGATATCAAAGAGGACGATCGGATCATTCTTTCAGGCCTTTGTGCAAGATTCACGAATGAAATCGGAGCCATTTGAGCCTTGAAAGAGAACCAAAATCAAAACGAAACTTAAAGGGTAAAAAGTGATTAGCTTCATTATTGTTCTGCTCCTTTCTTCTTCTTCTTCTCTTGTTCTTCTGGTATAGTGTGTTTGTGTATATATGGGTGAAATCTGAATTTTTTGTTGGTGGAATTTGAAATTATCGAGTCGTGTCGTTAAACTAGCAAAAAACACTAAATTAAGTTAGATATCATGCTGTGTTTTGCGGCATTACAGTTGTGGTTTGGTTTTTTAGATATGCATGCACGTAAGATTTGTTATAAATCACAAGAAAAATGGTACCGAATTTAACAAAAAGCTGAGGTGTTACTGATTTAATATTTTGACTTATATTAATTTCTCTCTTTTTTTCCAAAAAAAAAAATCATGATTGTGTCTTCTAAGTTATAACTTTGTTGCTGAATGCTCAAGTTATCCCAACGAACTTGGATTTTCCTGTCCATACATGTGTACACTCGACTAGCCTAATCGATTCCATATGAAAAATTAGATCCAGCAATTTAAGGGGTCAGATTTATTTGAGCTGGGATCAATTTAGATCAGTTTTATAATACCCAAATATATAAATGTCTAGTCAAGCCCAACACTAAACTTCGGACTTTCAGACATATTCAGTGGATTGGCCTGAATACTTAAATTATTAAAATTTATTTTATTTTTTAGTTAATTTTAATTTTTATTTTAAAAATTAACTTTTTTTAATTTCATCTTATTTTGATTTTATTTTATTAGTAATAAAAAAAGAATTCTGGCATTCAAGCTAAGCTGATTCAAGTACAACTTGGCGTAAATTTTTTCAAACTTATTCTAAATATGTCCCAAGTAAAGAAAATTATCTAAACTCCCAACCTTGATGCTAAAATTTTTTGAATTTGTTTGAGTTGACTAATCAAATCTAATCAGAATTACCAGACATGTTACATTAAGAAGTTGGTGGGACAGAAACCAAGCTGGAATACTTAAAAATTATCAATATACTGTATGTTATGGAGAACAAAACTAAAATCTGATATTACATATTGCAAATTTATCATTTAATTAATTACTGTTCATATTATTTTAATTAGGATGTGTTCATTTTTTTAAGCCAAATATGATGGCAAAAGCTGGGTGAGATATAGGAAGAGATTAAAGATTTGTTGATGTAATAAAAAAAATTAGGTTTAAGCCAATGTTATATATTTGAAGCTTCTCTGCAAGAATCACCCATGATATCTGAACTGATCCATTCGAACATACATACAGAATAAGCAAAATCAATAAGAAACTTGCATTTAAAAAAAAAATCTATAAGAAACGAGCTTCTTTATGGGTAATGGGGATGAAGACTCTGGAGATTTCAACTTCATATATGGGATGCAGAAGCGGATTATTGATTGGTCATATACAGTTTGGGAAATTTTTATATAAATCTGGAATATCACGTCTATTATTTAATAAAAACATGACATGTCATATAATTATAAATATAAATTGGTTTTATTATTGATAATAATAAAGATAAAAAAGATAAAAAAGATGTCATATTCCAAAAGTAAAATCATTAAAATAGAAATAATGATATATAATATTTTATTTGATTGAAATGATGGAATTTTATTAGGTAATCTACAAATGACTTGATGGGTTGGTTTAAGAGTATCTCTATATGGTCTCATGCAAAATTATGCATCAATGCCATTACTGTTCTCTGTTACAATATTAAGTTCCATTATTCATGCTGGAATATTAATCACTCCTTTCCATTTCAAAAAAAATGGAGTAGCTCACCAACTTCAAAAAATATGCTGCCTATTAAAAATTCACACATGGACCCGATACATCACATATATCATTTATTTTCTATCTAATAAAATTGCACCAATTCAATAAAATAAAATCTTATATGTCATTATTTTTAATGACTTTATTTTTATAATAAAATATATATTTAATTTCTTATATTTTTTCTCCACTATCATTAATAAAAGAATCAATTTATATTTAATATCATATTTTCATTAGATGAAACATGGGTGACGTGGTGCATGGATCCATATATGGATATCTCATTCCACCGATCCAAAATTTAGGCATTTTTCCTAATTAATTTTAGTTCAAAATATAATCAATTTATTATTTGTTAAAAAATATTTCTTTTTACCCATTATATTTATTAATCTAGATTTTTGTATATTTGATTTTATGACCTTCTTTTCACTCATCAAAAATTAAAACTAAAGATAAAAAAATACTATATATTTTTATGAGAATAAAAATTTTATTAGTATGCAAAAGAACTATTTATATTTTAGAGCATAAGGACTAAGGAGTATCATACAAAGGATTTAAAAAAAAAAATTACCAAAATTATCTCTAGTTGACATTTTAGATGCATTGGGCAATATTGGAGTACGGGCTAGACTCTAGAGTGCTTATTAATAATGGGCAAGATATGGCCCATGTAAGGAGCGACCTATGATGTTATAAGAGACTTGATCTATGTATTATGAGTCTCTTGTAGTAACTCACGAAAGAAACCCAAACCAGTACCAAGAAAAAAACAATTATTTGGAACGTTTTTTTTCAAAAATAGAGTCGATGATTCAAGCCAACCTGAACTTGTTCAAAAAAAGTTAAAGTTGGGTTTAACTATATGAGTTTTTTAAAAAAAGTAGGATACTTTAAGCCGATTTGAATAAGCTCAGCCTGAATTAAATCCAACTCGAATAAATCTGACAGTTAAGATTTCTAGCTTTATAGATATATAAATTTAGTAATTTTGGCCACCCGACGAGCCATTTCGAACCCAATCGAAAAAAGTTAGGTTCAAACTTCACTATATGAGCTTTTTAAGAGAATATGATATTTTAAGTTCGATTCAAATACGACTGGCACAAATTAAGCTTGACCCAAATAAGCTTGCCCCACCTGAATTACCAATTCTACCCAAAAAGAAAGAGAGAAGTGAAGAAAAAATGGGGTGGTAAAGTAACATGGTAGTCCTTTTCCACACCATATTAATAACAAGGTTTTAAAAATTAGACCAATTATTAAATCAAGTAAGGTATCAATTTAAGGATTAATGATTGAACCATAATCAAACTATTTATAAATAATTTAATATTTTTTAATAATATACATATAAAAATAACAAAGTATATCTTCCAATGATTATAAAACCAACATTAAATTTAAAAAAACACTCAACTATTTTTTCGCCAACTAAAAATAATATAAAATATTCAACTAAATGTAGTTAAGTTTATAAATCATTCATACTTTACCATTAAATTTGTTTGAAAAAAAGTACCTGTTTATATAATATAATATAATTTATTGTTGTTGTTGCTGCTGCTGTTATTGCAATGACAAGACTTCAGAGGAATGGCTACTACTTTTAGGAGGAAAAAGCTAATATCCCTTGCTCCCTTTCTATATTTCAGAGAGAGAGTTGGTCTTCTTCCTTATTTCTCTTCGTGGTCAGTTTGAAAGATTGAAATAAATTTGTAACATTTTTCCTCCAATGATTGAAGCAACATGCAAAAGATAATGTTTATAGCAAAATAACTTCTCTTCTTGCATTTGCCCCCCTCAAATCTTTCATTTCTCCATATTTCATCTTTTCTCTAAGCTTCTCTAATCTGATTTTTTTTTTTGCTTTCAAACCAAATTGCTTGAACCTATAAACCAATATGTTTTCTCAATTTTTGAGGTTTGTTAACTAGTTTATCGATTCTTGACCAATTTGATTACCTCCCAATTATGTGACATATTAGACCGGACTAATGATTGGTTTCCGATTCAACCGGTTAAATCGGCTAGTCCAATTTCTAAAACTTTGATCAATAACAAGAAAGTTAAAGAAGTAAAGGGGAAAAACAAATGAAAAAAAGAAGTACTTAATTTTAACAATATTTATAATTGGTGTAGATATAGATATGATTTCTATACCAATTTTATCTATACCGGTTGTAGATACCTAATTTAACCAATGTAGATATCCCCTTCTATAATAGTGAGTGAATAAGCAAATGAAGATGAAAAGCACAACTACACTAAACAATGAAAAGCACAACAATTTTGTTATTTAGGACCAAGTCAAAATTATTGCACTTACAATAGACTTGAAAACTATTGCTTAAAAGTATAGGCAACAATTTTCAAGTGATTCAAATGTAAAGGTTGCTTATTATTTGCTTGAAAAATTGTTGCCTCAAACTATAAAAATAAACAATATTTTTTTAAAAACCTATTGCAATGGTTTAGAAATGTTACTTATAACATAAGATAGACAATATTTAGGAATTATTGTAGAATTATTAAATAACTCAGATTTAATATTTCAGCCTACACCTAGGATTCATGAAAGGATGTGGTGACTCTAATCAATCTTTCAACATGACTTTTAGATAATGTAAAGCAAAATAATACATATGTGTAGATAGTTGTGAAATAAATTTTTGAATTTATCTAAATAATAAATTAAAAGTTAAGAGAATAAACAAATAAAAAGTATACAAAAAAATTAAACTAATTTTTTATATGTAGTAAAACAACAAGCAATAACTCTTAAATGTTGTGAAAAAGAATATTTAAAAGGCAACCTTTATATTTTTGTTACTTATTAGAATAGAGAACATATTTTAGATGTTGCAATGAAAATACCTTTATAGGCAATAGTCTTTATGTTATCTATTCAAAAAGTTTATTTTGTAACATTTCAAAATTTAATTCAAGATTAATTAAGTTAATTAAAGGTAAATGAGTAATTTTAAATAAATATTTAGATATAAATAATTTTAGTTAAAAAATTATTATTTGGATCTAACCTAGAATAAAATCCAAATCTTAAACTATAATTTTTTAAAAAATAAAAATAATAATAAATTGTTATTATT